AATTTATATATGTGTGTGTGTATATATATATATATATTTTTTTTTTTTTTTTTTTCCTTTGAAAGCTTTACTCTTTAACCAAAGCCCTACAGAGAGTTACCTGTCGTCCAGCCAGCAGGCAGCCTGCGAGGCTGCTTGGTTGGGTGCAGTCTTTCCAGGAACGTGGAGTTTCAGCTGGGCCTGGTTGAGCTGAGCGGCTGGCTGGCGCCACACGCCCCTCCCCAGGCCTGCGCGCCTGTGCATGTGGGGTTCCCTCATGATTGCGGGGGGCCGGGGTCGCAGTCCCGCCTGCAGAGAAGAACCCGGGGCAGGTTTTGTCCTCATCTCCTGTGGGCCGCTGGACTCACTGCGCTGTCTCTACTGGGCCTGTGCGCCTCTGTGTGCGCACGGGGTATCCTCGCGATCGTCAGGGGCCGCCGGCGCAGAAGCACCTGGGGAAGGCCTTGCACGCATTTCTCCTGTCCCTCCGGCCTCGCTGCATCGTCCCGACCGGGCCTGCAGCTTCATCTCCTACCATCCACCCGCTGCCCGGGTGGACTGGCGGCCGGGTCCTCCCATCGCCTCGCCTGGTGCCAGCTGGACGCCCTCACCTTCTACCAGCTGGGCATCTGCACTTGCTGGGCATCTGGCCAGACGAACTTGGTTCAGTGACCGGTTCAGAAAGCCAGCAGGAGCCAGTCCTTTTTGGAAAATAAGTTTTTGAAATTATTTATTTTTGGCTCTGCTGACCTTTCCGTTGCTTTTGTGTGGGCCTTCTGTAGTCATGTCGAGCGGAAGCTTCTCTTCCTTGCAGTGTGGGGTTTTTCATTGTGGTGTCTTCTCTTGTCCTCCAACATGGACTCAACACTTGCGGCTCCAAGACTTGGTTTCTCCGGGCCACATGTGGGATCTTCGCAGAGCAGTCCCGTGTCTCCTGCATGGGCAGGCGGATGCTTTTTTTTTTAAACAGAATACCATTCATTATTGATGGTTTTAATTAAGTTAGTGAGGGTAAAGAGCAAATGAGGCATAATTTATGTATTTGATAGCTTAGTGCAAGTTACCTTTACGTTTAGAGCCATCATTTTGAAGTAACCAATCAGTTCAGTTCAGTCGCTCAGTCGTGTCTGACTCTTTGCGACCCCCATGGACTACAGCACGCCAGGCTTCCCTGTCCATCACCAACTCCCAGAGTTGACTCAAACCCCTGTCCACTGAGTTGTTGTCACCAATGTTTATACATATTTGTATATGTTTATACACATTTGATGGATATATTGCTCATTATTCCAAACACACTTTCTAGGTTCTAATGTTTGTTTGCAAAACGTCTTGGTATTTATAGACAACATCTATTCATTTCCATGATAGAGTTTTACAAATGACCTTTAAATTTAGTACTTTTTTGGTCATGGGAGTATTCTGATATATAGTCATCAAATAATAATGATGTTTGCTCTACATTTTTAAAGAAAGCACAGCAATTGACTTCCTCCATCAAGCACTCAGTTTAGATCCTTGTGGTTGGCAGGTGGATTCTTAACCACAGAGCGACCAGGGAAGCCCAGAGATGGCTTTACGAATGAGCTGTGTGCATGAGGAATGGTGGCTTGTTCTGTGAGGTTCAGGCATCCCGCTCCAGTCATCTGTTTGGGGAACCAGCCACGTGTCTCACAGAGAAGCATGCAGTGGATGACTGAGTCATAGGACCCTGAGACACAGACACCCTGGATCCTTCCAGTCCCGCTTGGAACAACCCCACCAAACTTCCTTCCAGGGCCCTGGCTCTGAATGCAGAAAGGCCAGGCCTCTGTCTGTGTCCCGCTCACTGTAAGCCGTGAACGTGCTTTTTCCTTCTGTCTCGGCATCCCTGACGGCACATCCCATTACTCACCAAGGGATGGAGGGGCTGGCCTGGTAAACAGACTCAGGGCAGAGGACTCCAGCTTTTGTGTGCCTGTGGTATTCACCAGGAGACCATGTGCTGAGTGAGGAAGACTGAGCTAGTACAGGTGATGCAAGCCCAGCTGAACTGTTTCAGGTCCTGAAAGATGATGCTGCGAAAGTGCTGCGCCCAATATGCCAGCAAACCTGGAAAACTCAGCAGTGGCCACAGGACTGGAAAAGCTCAGTTTTCATTCCAATCCCAAAGAAAGGCAATCCCAAAGATTGCTCAAACTACTGCACAATTGCACTCATCTCACACGCTAGTAAAGTAATGCTCAAAATTNCAGGTCAGGTGGTCTGGTATTTCCATCTCTTTAAGAATTTTCCACAGTTTGTGGTGATCCACAAAGTCAAAGGCTTTGGCATAGTCAATAAAGCAGAAATGATGTTTTTCTGGATCTGTATAGTCAATGTACAGTTCACAGTGATCATGTAGAGTTGTGAGAACTGGACTGTAAAGAAGGCAGTGCACCAAAGAATTGATGCCTTCGAACAATGGTGCTGGAGAAGACTCCTGAGAGTCTCTTGGACAGCAAGGAGATCAAACCAGTCGATTTTAAGAGTATTGAATGCTCATTGGAAGGACTGATGCTGAAGCTCCAGTATTTTGGTCATCTGATGTGAACACCTGACCCACTGGAAAAGGCCCTGTTGCTGGGAAAGATTGAAGGCGGGAGGAGAAGGGGACGACAGAGGATGAGATGGTTAGATGGCACCACTGACTTAATGGACATGAGTTTAAGTAAACTGTGGGAGTTGGTGATGGACAGGGAGGCCTGGCATCCTGCAGTCCATGGGGTCATGAGTCAGACACGACTGAGCGACTGAACTGATCTGTACAGACTAGTGACTCAGTTGCAGACATACAGCCGTTCTTTTTCTGATATTCTTTCCCAGTGTGATTTATTTCAGGAGACTGGATATACTTCTCTGTGCTCCATAGCAGGACCTTATTGTTTGTTCGTCCTGCATATAAAAGTTTGCATCTGTTAATGTCAAACTCCTACCCAACCCCTCCCCTGCCTCTTGGAACCCACAAGTCTGATCTCTGTATGTCTACGAGAGTCTATTTCTGTTTTGTTAAAAATAGGTTCACTTGTAGACACTGTATATTATCATTGCATGTTGTTCTCATTGCAATCCAGGCAAAGCAATGTAAAGCTACCATCTGTGGTTTATTCTCTCTTCTCACCAAGACACTTTCGGGATTCACACTAAGGGTCCTAAACAGGGTTATCACTTGTTTCATTGTGGACTTGATCTCTACATAGTTGGATTTACATGCTTTGTGCATTAGAGGTATGGCAAATGTCCTCACTGACACATACGTGCATTAATCAGTTTATTGATCAGTTTAGAAATCCGGTAACATCGGCAACAGCACTAGGAGTTTCATAGTAGGACAGTCATGGGTCATGACCTCCTGGGAGAGAAGAAATGATGATTTCAAGGAAAAAGTCTGTTATCTTCATACGAATGAGTGTGACCCATTAGTGTTGGGACGCTGCTCATATTCTTAACTTTGTTTTCTTCTTGAAACATGAAAAAAAAAAGTAGCACATTGTTGAGCTGATTAGGATTGATATGATGTTGGTCATAGCATGAAAGAGAAGCTAGAAGCAGTGGATGGTGGAACCCATGCAGAAATTTCCCTACAACTTTCACAGAAGTCCCTCTGTGAGTGTGGCCCTGTGGGATTGCATAGAACTACCACCTGGTGAAAGCAGATGTGAGCAGCCCTGAATCAGCTCTTATGCCGAGGGTCACTGAGTGACATACTCAGAGGTCTGAGATGGAGGAGACTGTACCCTGTGTCACCTGTGCGGCTTACATCTTCTGTCGTCTCGTGTATCATCATGAATGTGTTGTGGCTGCACGGTCCGTTCATTCACAGTGGGATTCACCGGGGCGCATCATATCTCACAGCTCGGGGCTTCACCCAGCCTGCTCCTCTGTCCTCAGAGCATCTCACTGTGGTGTCTAGACCAGTATTGTGTTTGGATATTTAAATCCAAACACTTATGGAGGCCCCATCCCTCGCTGCCTGGCTAGGTGGACTGTTCTGTTATCCTGTTCTTTTCGTAAATTAGTTTATATTGAAACGTCCTTGATTTACAACATTGTGTTACTTCCGGCAGTACAGCAAAGTGGTTTCTTTATATATCTGTTGTTGCTGGTTGGTCGCTAAGTCATGTCCCACCTTTTGTGTTCTATGGACTATAACTTGCCAGACTCCTCTGTCCATTGCATTTTCCGGGGAAGAACACTGGAGGGAGATCTACCCCGAGGGATCTTCCTGAATCAGGGATAGAACCCACGTCTCCTGTGTCTCCTACATTGGCAGGCAGATTCTTGACCACTGAGTCACCTCCAAAGCCTCAGTTATACATGTCTGTAGTAAATGTACACCTTTTAGATTCTTCTTTATAAATTATGACAAGACATTGAGTATAGTTCTCTGTGCTATCCACTGTGTCTTTGTCATTTATTTTATATATTTTACTGTGTAGCTGTGCATCTAAAACTCCTAATTTACCCCTTGCCTGCTTCCCCTTTGGTAACCATCCATGTTGTCTGTGTTTGAGAGTCTGTTTCAGTTTTATGAATGGTTCACTTGAATCATATTTTAGATTCCATGTGGAAGTGATGGCATATGATATTTGCCTTTCTCTTTCTGACTGACCAGTTAGTAAGATCATCTCTTGGTCCATCCATCTTACTGCAGATGGCATGATTTCATTCTTTTTCATGGCTGAGTAATATTCCATCTTGTATGTATCCCATTCTTAAAACAGTGAAAGCCCCCTCCCCCAAAGAGTGAATGTACTGAAAAAAGCTCAGTGTTGTATGCGTTATGTTTCTACTCACCAAGCTGATGTTCTCTGTTCTTATGGAGGACAGTTGTCTGTGAAAGAGAATGAATAAGGGGAATAATGAACATTGACATGCCTTTGTTTCCAAGGATTATTTCATCACAGCTTTTTAAAAAGGTATCTGTGCCAACGGGAATTTTGAATCGAATGTCCTAGTGATGGGTTTTCATTTCGGATAGGTGTTTTCCTCCGGGGCTTTACCTGTTTCGATGACATTGTCAATATTTTCATTTGGAATCCCCCTTTCACTGTTCAGCTCCTTATACTTCTGAAGTTCTTCTTGAGTGAAACTGGTTCCTCTGGCTGGATTTCATAGCAAACAAGGCAGAAGAGGTGTGCGTTAGAATCCTTTATAGGTTATAGAGAGTCACGTGGCTCGTTCTTGTAGCGTCTAGTAAGTCTCACCAACACCACTGCCCTCCATCCTCACCTAAAATCCAGGTATCTTTCTACAGACATGCCTGAGTGTGCACAGAGGTCTTCAGATGTGTCCATGAGGGTAGAGTCCACATAGTTAACATGTTACCACATTCCAGTTCTTGCAACGACTGAGTGAGCTACAGATCATTCAACTGTGAGCTTAAAGCATGCCCTGGTGAGATGCAGTTTTTCATGGTACATCACAGAAGGTCGTGGCACGTCTGAGACTCAGAATCTGCCCCAATTCTAATGCTTCCTGTCCACTTTGTCTGCATCCTAGAATGGCATCCCTGGGGTTTTCATGAACTCTGATGAAATGAATGGGTGGGGAATGATTTGGAATTTTCAAAAGCACAGTAATCCTATTGAGGCGGTGTAAGACCTTATGTTCCTTGCCCGGCCCCTGCTATTTTCAGCCTGCCTTTTGTCTGTGAAAGATTTTAGTCAAAGAATAAGTTGAATCAGAAAATTGAGAATGTCGGATAGCAAAGGAAAACAGACAGAGGAGATGAAATAATAATAATGTCGTCATGAAGCATAGACAAGGGCCTCTATTTCCTCCCCAAGGAGAGTGGATACTCTTCTGGGTCATATCCTGTGAGCTGTCGTATAGACACTGAAAGCTCCCCTTGTGGACAAGATAAATACAGGCTGACCAGACAGCAGTCATGGCGGAAGCTCCCATGTTTCTGAGAATTGATTTCAAGGAGATGGGAAGATAGGGAATTGTTGATTAACTGTGCCTAAAACAATCACGATGATGCTGGTCAGACCACTGATGACCGATTTGAAAATGACTTTTGGAGCTGACTTCTGTTTTTGCAAGGAGCCCCCTCCCTCTGTCTATAAAAGCTCTTGCCCCACTGTTTGCCAGTTGTGGGGTGGGGCAGTCAGCCCTTGGACAGAAGTCCACCCTCCCCCCCAGTTGTCTGCCTCTGAGCAAAAGCCGACTTTTCTTTCTAAGAAGCTGGCCTCTTAGTTGCCTTTTGAAGGGCAGGCAGCAGGATCCCACATTTGGTAACAGCATCACACATGCTACTGAGGGAAACACTCATGCTCTGTCATCTTCAAAGAACAGATACAACCCCCACCCATCCCTGATAAGGATATAATAGCAGAGGGGATAAAGGGATGTGGCAGTGAACCCAAGGGATTGGCCGGATGGCAGAATGACTGATATTCCAGACCACTCTGCCTCTGCAGTCTTCAGGGTGATCCAGTGGTATTTGCAGAGCGTGGGGTTCAGGCTGAGGCAGCACTCTCATGATTGTGACAAAGGAGAAAGCATTTGTCATGGAGATGACCTCAGTCATGGCCGGGACCTGTGAGTTTTCTAAACTCAGATTTAAACCTCGGTTCACTTTGGTGTCAGGACCCAGCAACTCTGTTTGCGTGACACTTGTCAGGGAACTCATGGAGCATCCTGGAAGATTTCCTTGGATCTCTGGGATAAGTGTATCTCATTAAAAAAAACCCAAAAGCCATCTGATAGAATCCCCCAGTGGACACATTTCCTCATTTTTCTAGCAGACAGACTTTCTATATCCCTGACTCATGTCACATGAAGTCTGAATTCTCCATGTAAACACACATCTGTGCTTCATAGAAGATGCTGTGCTCAGTTGCTCAGTTGTGTCCGACTCTTTGTGACCCCATGGTGTATAGACCACCAGGCTCCACTGTCCCTGGGATTCTCCAGGCAAGAATACTGGGGTGCATTGCCGTTCCCTCCTCCAGGGGATCTTCCCAACCCAGGGATCAAAGCCAGGTCTCCTGCATTGCAGGTGGGTTCTTTCCCATCTGAGCCACCAGGGAAGCCCTAATAGAAGTTATGTGTGTATCTCTCTCCTTTCTGTAAAAATACTGATCATATGAACACATCTGCGTTGTATTGGGTAAGCTGTAGTACGTACCAGAAGCTTCAGTTATTTTTGTGATCTTCTGTCCATCATCGTTTTCAAAATAAAATACCAGTATGTTGTCTGTTACATGAATGATTTGCAAATAATTTGTACCTGCGACTGTGGCAGAGAAAAAAAAAAATCAAACTTCAATATGATTAACTTATTTTCTTTTCATTTGAGCCTTACGTATTCTTCACATGCTATCATCAGTCTTCACTTGGATGGTGACCTCTGCCTCACTGAGATTTCTAGTGATACGTTGTTAGAACTAGTTAAGACAGTTAGTGAACTAGGAAAGCTTCCTCCACACTCCCTTCTCCTGAAGATGAAGACTTCCAGTCTTCTAGACTGAGAAGTCTGTGCATGATAAAAAGTTGTTGACTGCAACTCTAGTAGATGTTGAACCTCAGCCATCTCATGCGAGCTCGCAAGAGCTGACTGTTAAATTTTCAAGAATTTCGTAACCCAGTTTGCAAGCACAAGTGTGGTTAGAAAGGAATTCAAAAATTTAAATGAATGATATTAACATAAATGTCAGTACCTCATCCAGAGTTATTTCCTAGTACAAGTTGTAATAAAAGAGGTATAAATTAGTCTATTGCAAAATGTTGGACATAGATAATCTGAAATGGTTGCAGATTAGATCCTGTGGCTCTTTGTCCACAGTTGAAATTAAAATAAATGCATCAGACCAAGATTAGAGTGCTCAGTTGTACATTTTTTTCCCCATGAAAATGAAACATACAGATATTTGATCACTGAATAGAATATTGCAGTACTGATATTAATGTTTGAGAATTATTTCCTGTCGTTTTCAACTACAGAGATAGAAATCTATGTTAATGCCTCTTTCAAATTAAGTATTGATATTCATATTTGAGAATTATTTCTCCTTATTTTAAGCTATAGAGATAGAAGTCTATGCTGAAGTCCCTTTCCAATTATGTAAAAATGAGTTGGAAATTTTGGCCGTCATTTTAACTGTTTCCATTTTTGGACTATAAGTTAATCATGTTCTACTTACTAAACTTGCTAATGAGGAGCTTTTAATGTTTAAAGAATTTCTTTAGTCAAAACAAATTTCATCATGTAGGTCAAGTAAAAGCAAAAATTGTGAAGCAGTCGTTATGAGCCTATGCAGGTAATGGCACTTCTCCATGCCCGAGGAACACGAGGAGTCAGTGTTCTGGGGCTTTTTCTCAGAGACCGTGAACGGTCACGTTGCAACCTTGGACGTCATCCTGGTGTTGTGGGACAGAATGGATTGCTGAAACATTAATGGCTTTTCCAAGGTTGCATTGGTGATGAGTAGAGGAAATAGTTCACCAATGCAGACACCTAGGTGTCTTGGATGAAATGTAGACTGTCAGTCCAAACACGTTCCGTGGTTGGGGGAAGACCACCCGTCAGAGAAGCTGGAATACTCACATTCTATGACGTAAATACCGCCTTCTTGTCTCTTGAGCTCTTCCGAGAAAAACTCGCATCTGCCGTCAAATCTGAAAAGCCCAACAGACAAGACGTTCCTTCTCACCACTCACCACTCCCCAGGGCTTGGGGACAGCCCACCATGAATACAGTTCGAACACCGAACCTCACAACCCTGAGTCACGCCTCTCACTGCACATTGGGCATCGGACCCCATGTCAGAAGCCAACAGGCGTCTTGTTCTCAGTTCAGGAGGATCGTGCTTACTTGACATAAAATGAAATGAGCAGGTATTCGCAGTCATTTTTGCATTCAATCTGACGATTATAACACCTCAGTGGGCCCCCTTCCACAACCTTCTCCTTGTTATCCGCGGCCACATAAATGGTGCGCCACTCTCCTGTGACCTAAAAGGAAGGTCTTCATAAACATCAGTCAGTCTCTTTTCTGGTTACTCACCAATTCGCAGCACTGCCTTTGCTTCTGCATTTACCACAGAGGAAAAGTTAATTGAATCTTATTAAGCAAAGAGGAGTTCCACCCCCTACCTTGCTGACTAACACGACAGGAAATCATCTTTCCTATTGGAGCACAAAGCATAGAATGCAGAATTCTTTCGCAGACAATTCAGAGTTTTTTGAAATAGCTAAAACTATGCCAGGAAAGACCGTGACAGTTCAAATCTTTCTGAATGTTAGCTTGTTTGGCTTTTTTACTTGTTTGTTTTACCTACAGATGAATAAGATAAATGAAAAATACCAGAAACAGATATTACATTCACATAGATATGTCAACCACAGAAGGCTTACAATCTGGTCATACATTTACACAAAAATATCTCTGTCACATGCACACACAACCTCACACACACACGCACAAACACAGACACACACACACACACAGAATCAAACAAGCAAGACCTTCAAGCAGGTCAGCTCATTCTGGGTACCTTTGAGGGGTCTATTTCAGCTGGAGTTTCCTGGGCCCCACAAACCAGACCAAGGAGGAGAGTCAGGAACACCACCTTCATCTTGGGACTCTTGCGTCCTTCTAGAGAAGCTGAGGGTGTCTTGGTTGTTGGAGAGGTTGTGAGTTGGTTCCACTTTTTATAGGATATGTCTTTTGGCGGAATACATGTTGATCAAACAGTGGTTAATCACCAGATCATGGTGACCTAAAGGTGACCCTCTGATATCCTGGTTGGCAGCTGAGCATTTTGGCATTCTGTGCTTCTTATACAACCCCTGTGTTATTCCTTTCACATTGAAGAGGTCTGTTTAAGCTTATTTTCTAAAACTAATGATGGCACCTTTGTTTTAAGAGGATAAATATGTGGTATCTCTACCAGGAATCACTTAGGAGGAACTTCCTCAGAGGGGTCAATAATTTTTTTTTAATATTGAAATTGCAATATAATTGATGTACAATATTTTTTGTTATAGGTGTATCTTATAGGTACTCATAATTTTATTTCTCCTTTTGGAGTTATAAAATATTGGTCTTTTAATTCTCTATGTTTTCCAATCATTATTTTTCAAATAATCTTTGTATATTATTTATGTACTTTGTACCACTTATTCCACTCCTTGTGTGTGCGTTACTGACTTCTTTCCCTCAGCAGATTCGTTTGAATAAACAGCTGTATATTTTTGTAGACTCCTTTCCCATTGCCCCTGCATTGTATCACTGGGATATGTCCCACTTTCATCCATTCCAGTGTTGAAGAATGCATGTTCATAGACAAGATTTAGTAAGGAAGTGAGCCATCTTATCTCCTGGGTAGGGGCTTAGGGGCTGAATTGCTGGATCTCAGTGCCTCTGATTTTCGATGCCTGTCAACAGGAGATGAGAATTTCCATTGCTCTATCCTTGCCAGGGCTCTGTGTGGTCATTTGTTTTCATTTCAGAGATTGTAATAAGTGTGTGAGTGTATCCAGTTTCAGAAGTACTTTCCATTTCCTTGATGAATAAGGTGGTGGATGCCATTTGTCTATTTCCTTTGTTAGGTGTCTCTGCAAGTCCTTTATTCATTATTGTGTGAATTATTTATTTTTTATGAAGTTTGTAGGTTTTTAACATATTGTGGATATAAGTCTGTTTTCAGATGGAGATGTGCGAATATTTTTCCCCCATTGCTCAAGGCTTCACTTGTGTTTCCTTAAGGTTGTCCCTCAAAGATGTAAATATTTTGAATGAGGATTTGTTATTAATGTTGTGTTCCCAGTGTGGGATCCTGCTTGGTGTATATCCTAAACTGTAATCACCCAATCTTTGGTCACAGAATGTCCACCTGTGGTTTACCTCTAGTCTTTCTTGCTTTGGGTCTTAAATACACGTCTTTGAGTCTCTCCGTGTTAGTTGAAAAATGGGGAGCAATGAAACAGTTGAAGTTATTTATATTTTTTTGTCATATGAATTCCCAATTTCTCCAGCAGTTTTCCTTATAAGATTATTATTCTCTTCTGAATTTCCTTTGTAACTGTATCCAAAATATGTTTGTCTGTATATTCCTGTCCCTTCCCTAGGAGCAGATTTGTTTGTATTTTGGTTTGTATTTCCCCAATCTTGGTTCTCTTTTTGGGAAGTGTCAAAGACAGTTAGCACATGAAGATCCCATTCATGGCCTTCAACAAGTTTGTGTCAGAAGCAAAGCATTCACGATTCACGAGCTTGGGAAAAGAGAATTTTCATCCATTTATGGATCATTAGAGCAGTGCATATTTCTTTTGATTTTCACAAAGGGTATCTGAAAGAGCAAGGCGTTAATTTTGCTACATTTTGGAGCCAAAGGAAATAATCCTTGAGTCAATGCTGGCTGCAGAGTTATCAACATAAGAAGATACTCAGTTTCAAACGTAAGAGTTTAACTGACTTAAGTTCTACTGCTTTTTTTTTGGTGTGTGTGTTTTTTCCTGTTTAGTTATAATTACCTAAGGAGCTCCTGTGATTTAAAGAAGCATGTAATGAACAGCATGGTGACTATGACAAAGAAGATTGCACATATAACCTGTCAGTCGCTTAGAGCAGAACTTTTAAGTGTTTTTATCTCACACACACACACACACACACACACACACACGGGGTGAAGTGAGTAACCGGTGTGTTAGTTCACTTGTGTACTATGTAAATCACCAGTGACATTTTTTCTTTGACTCTACCTTCCTGCTCCTTAACTCCCTTCAAACTTCTAAGAGTTGGTATATCCACACTGATTAAACTTAATACACGTGTGCTAGAGGATCCGTCTTCTCCAGGATTTGATGTTTTGTAAACTGGATAGAGAGCCTTTAAAATAATTTTTCAGATAAAAATTTTTTAACGGTTCATATTTCCTGCCTGGTTCCTTATGTTGTTTTCATTATTCAAATGGCAGCTGTTTCTCTGAGAATTTTTTAAAAAGTATTTCCGTGGGGTATCTCAGTGGTCACACTTCTTATAACTTCTGCTAAGGTTTTTTTTTTTTTTTTTTCCCCAATTTTACAACACACTCTTGGTCTTCCTTGCTGTGTTCTGCCTTTTGCTAGTAATGGACTCAGGGCTTGTCATTGTGATGGTTTTCTTGCTCAGGCTCTGGAGCCAGGCAGAGTTTGTGTAGCCTTTGTTGTCATTACAGCTTGTGGGATCTTCCAGGATGACGATTCCATGTGTGTCCCCTGCACTCGCAGGTGGATTCTGAACCACTGGATCCCTGGGGAAGTCCTTCTGCTCAGTTAATTTTCCTGTTTCTTAGTTTTAGTTCTTGCTTTAGGCTGGCTTGCTTGGTTGAGGCCTTAGTGAGCATAGCTTCATTCTCTGGGGCTAATAGTAGCTGTCCTCCGCTCTTCCCTAGTAGCAGTATTGGACACGTTCCATCCTGGGGGGAGGGGTCCTATTTCAGTGTCATAACTGTTTGCCAATTAACACAGCTCGTGGGGTTCTCAGAGCAAGTGTAATGGAGTGGTTTGCAACTCCCTCCTCCAGTGGATCACGTTCTGTCAGAACTCTTCACTGTGACCCATCTGTCTTGGGTGACCCTACATGAAACGGCTCATAGCCTCTCTGAGTTATGCCAGCCCCTTCACCACACTAGGCAGTGATCCACGAAGGGGGTATAACTTAGTCGTCAACCACTATTGTTCCATTTCCTGTCAACATAAATAGACTCATGGAGGGCACATCAGAAGTTTGTGCACCAGGACCCAGGAGAAAGGAGCAGTGGCCCCATAGGAGATTTGCCTGTGGGTGTCCAGGAGTCTCTGGCGAAGGCCTGGGACAGTGTTAGCCTCCTGCAGAGTTGGAGGCGTGGACTGTAGCAGTACAAACCTGGGATCTTTTGAGGGAGGTCACCATTATCTTTATTACCTCCACCATAGTTGGCCCCAAATAAATAGCAGGGTGGGAACCCAGCACCACCCATCACCAGAAAATTGGATTAAAGGTTTACTGAGCATGGCCCCGCCCATCAGAGCAAGACCCAGTATCCCTCTCAGTCAGTCTATCCCATCAGGAAGCTTTGATTAGCCTCTTATCTTTCTCCATCAGAGGGCAGACAGACTGAAAACCCCCATCACAGAAAACTAACCAATCTAGTCGCATGGACCACAGCCTTGTCTAACTCAGTTTAACTATGAACCATGCTGTGGAGGGCCACCCAAGAGAGATGGTTCATGGTGGAGAGTTCTGACAAAACGTGGTCCCCTGGAGAAGGGAATGGCAAACCACTTCAGTATTCCTGCCTTAAGAGCGCCATGAAGAGTATGAAAAGGCAGAAATATAGGACATTGAAAGAGGAACTCCCAGGTCGGTAGGTGCCCAATATGCTACTGGAGATCGGTGGAGAAATAACTCTGGAAAGAATGAAGAGATGGAGCCAAAGCAGAAACAACACCCAGTTGTGGATGTGACTGGTGACAGAAGTCAGGTCTGATGCTGTGAAGGGCAGTATTGCATAGGAACCTGGAATGTTAGGTCCATAAATCAAGTGAAATTGGAAGTGATCAAACAGGAGATGGCAAGAGTGAGCCTTGACATTTGAGAAATTAGTGGAGTAAAATGGACTGGAATGGGTGAATTTAACTCAGATGACCATTATACCTACAACTGTGGACAGGAACCCCTTAGTAGAAGAAATAATGATCATGGTAATAATAAAAAGTAAATGCATGGATCCTAATTAGAGGCCTAAAATACAGAAATTGAATTAGACCTGTGTTACTGAACTGAACTCTATGGCTGAACTGAAAGATGAGTTTTTAAAACTCTTATTTGAGATGTAAGTGATACACAACAAAAACTCACATATTTCAGATTGTACAGTTGATAAACGTTGGATGAATACAGCTGTGAAAACTTTCCCCCAGGTAGTATCTGAGTATATCTGTCAGCTTTAAAACTACGCTTGGGCTCCCCGGTGAAACCTACTCCAGCCCTTTTCAACCAACTCCCCAAGCCCAGATTTGGGAACCCATTCCTCAGTTTTATGGCACAATAGATGATTAATTGGTATTCTTTAGAATTTTTCAAACATTGAATTAGTGTGTGTGTTTCTGGCTTATTTCCCTCATCATATTCATTTGAGTAAATACCTATATTTTTTGCAGATCCATTCCCATTGGCCCTGTATAGTATCTTCAGGGTATGTCCCATTTTTATCCTTCACAGTGTTGATGGATCCATGTTCATAGACAAGTTTTTGTAAGGGACTAAGCTGCTCATCTGCTGGGCAGCCACTCAAGGGTGGAACTGGTGGATCTCCGCGCCTTCTGATTCTTGCTTCCTGCCAACAGGAGATGACAGTTGCTGTTCCTTCATCCCTGCCAGCGTTCTGTGTGGTCAGTTGTGTTCAGTTTAGATTGTATGATAAGTATGTGATGGGATGCAGTTACAGCTGTAATTTCCACTTCCTGAATGAATAAAGAGGGGCGATGGCCATTTGTCCCTTCTCTTTGTGAAGTGTGTCTCCAAGTCGTTTGTTCATTCCAGAGCGAATTGTTTTTATTTTTTATGGAGGTTGTAGGCTTTAAAAGTATTCTGGATATAAGTCCCTTTTAAGAGAGAGATGTGCCAATATCTTTCTCCCATTGCTGGCTTCTCTTCTGCTTCCTTAATGTTGTTGCCCAAAGATGTAAATATTTTGATAGAGCCTTGGTTATTAATGTTCTGTTCCCAGTGTGGGATCCTGCTTGGTGTGTATCCTAATCAGTAATCGCCTAATGTCTGGCCACAGAGTATCCACGTGTGCTTTACCTGTAGAGTCTTTCTTGCTTTCTGTCTTACATATAGGTCTACGAGTCTGTGTGCTACTTGTAAAACATGGAGCAATGAATAAGTTGAAGTTACTATTATTTTTTTTTGTCAAATGAATTTCCAATTTCTCCAGCATTTTTCCCTATACGGTAATTATTTCACCGGATTTTCTTGTTAACAAAAGAAAATCTGTTTATTGGTATATTCCTGTCCCTTCCCCAAGAGCAGGTTTCGTTGGGTTTTGGTTTGAATTTCCGCAATGTAGATATCTTCTTTTGGGCAATGATAAAGACAGTTAGAGGATGAAGGTCGTATGACTAGCCCCCAGCACCTTTGTGTCAAAAGCGAGATGTTCACAGTTCACAAGCTTGTGAAAGTAGAATTTTCATCCATTTGTGGATCATTAGAGTATTGTATGTATGTTTTGATTTTCACAAAGGTGCCTGAAATAAGAAGACGTTAGTTTTGCTACATTTTGGAGCCAAAAGAAAGAATCCATGGGTAAATGCTGACTCTGCAGGGCTCTCAACAGAAGCAGATATTCACTTTCAAACATAAGGCTTTAATCAACTTCAGTTCTGTTTTTTTTCCCTGTGTGTTTTTCTGTTTATTGTATTGTCTGAAGAGCTCATGTGATTTAAGGAAAGATGGAATGAACACCATGGTGACTACAACAGATAGGATTGCACATATAACCTGTCAGTTGCTTAGAGGAGAACTTTTAAGTATTTTTATCTCTAACACAGACATACACACAAACACATGGGGTATAGTGAGGTGCAGATGTGTTAGTTACCTTGTGCGTTATATAAATCACCAGTGACATTTTTCCTTTGGCTCTTCCTTCCTGCTCCTTATCTCCCTACAAACTTCTAAGAGTTGGTATATCCACACTGATTAAACTGAATCCACTTGTGATAGAGGATCCCTCTTCCCCAGGATTTGATATATTGCCAACTGGATAAAGATCCCTGAAATTACTTTTTCAGGTAAAAACTTTTAATGCTTCGTGTTTCCTGCCTGGTTCCTAATGTGGCTTTCATCATTCAATTGGCAACTTCTTCTGTTAGAATTTTTAAAAGCCTTTTCATGGTGTGTCTCGGTGGTCACACTTCTTATAGCCCCTGCTCAGTTATTATTATTATTTTTTTGAATTTAAAAGCATACACTGGGTCTCAGTGCTGTGTTCTGCTTTTCTCTACTTGCATTTGGAGGGCTTCTCACGGTGATGGTTCTGCCTTTTGGGCTCTTTAGCGCAGGCACAGGTGATGAGGTGCATGGACTTTGTTGTCATAACAGCATGTGGGATCTTCCCCGGTGAGGAAGTCAGTCTGTGTCCCCTGCATTGGCAGTGGATTCTGAACCACTGGACGCTTAGAGAAGTCCCTCTGCCCAGGTTGTTCTTTCTTAGTTTGAATTTTTGTTGTAGGTGGCTTCCTTGGGTGAGACCTAAGTGAGCATGGCTTCATTCTTTCTGGGCCTATTAGAAGTTGTCCTCCACCCTTCCCCAGTAGCAATATTGGACACCTTCCAACCGGTGGGTGGGGGGGGCTCATCTTTCAGTGTCATATCTGTTTGCCATTTTACACAGCTCTTGGGGTCCGCACAGCAAGAATACTGGAGTGGTTTGCCACTCCGTCTTCCAGCGGATCGTGTTCTGTCNAGAAGCAATGATGATTTCAAGGAAAAGGTCTGCTATCTTCATCTGGATGATTGGGACACATGAGTGCTTCGATTTTGCTCGCATTCTTACTCCATGTTTTTCTTTAAGCGTGAGAAAAAGGAAAATGTTGTTGAGCTGATGATTATTAACATGATATTGGCTAGGGCATGAGAGAAAGAGTAGAACCAGTTGCTGACGGGAAAGCAGTGGAGAAGTTTTCCTACCAGACCCATTTCACAGAAGTTTCTCTTGTGTGTGTATCCCTGGGGGTACTGTAGAATTACCACCTGGTGAAACCAGCTGTGAACAGTCTGGTATCAGTTTTGATATTGAGAGTTAGTACGTTATGCATTCACAGCTCTGAGATGTAGGAGACTATATGCTCTGTGACCTGTGCCACTTACATCTCTGTGATATCCTTTATCATCATGCATGTGTTGTGGCTGCAGGGTCATTCATTCACAGTGGCCTTCCCCAGCGATCATCCTATCTTATAGCTCAGGGCTTCACACCACCTCCATTGCCTGTAAAGCATCTCAGTGTGGATTCTAGGCCGATGTCAGGGTTTAGATATTCTAATCCAAACACTAAGGAAGCCCAAGCTTTTGACACTTGACAAGGTGAAGTGTTCTGTCATCCCATCCTTTTTTAAATTAATTTTTATTGAAATGCAGTTGCTGTTCAATGTTGTGTTAGTTTCAGGTATAGAGCAAACTGATTCATTTATACATTTGTTGTTTTCTCTCTGGGTTGTGTCCCACTCTTCTGTGGCCATATGGACTATTCCCAGATTCCTCTGTCCATTGGATTATCAAGGCAAGCATACTGGCGTGGGGTACCTGAACCAAGGATCTTCCTGACCCAGGGATGAACGCACATCTTCTGTGTCTCCTGCATTGGCAGGCAGATTCTGGAACTCTGAGTCACCTGGGAAGCTGTCAGTTCCATATATGTTTAGGTATGTGTATACCTATTTTCATTCTTCTTCTTAAAGTTATTAGAAGACATTGCGTATAGTTCTCTGCTCTCTCCAATTGGTCTTTATTGTTTATTTTATATATTTTAGTGTGTATCTGCTTCTTTCAAACTCCGAATCTACCCCTTGCCTGCCTGCTTTCCCTTTGGTAACCATTAATTTTGTCTGTGTTTGAGTCTGTCTCTGTTTTTTAATGGTTCATTTGAATCATATTTTAGATTCCACATGGAAGTGATAGCATATGATATTTGCCTTTCTCTTTCTGAGTTACTTTGCTTAGTAAAATTATCTGTAGCTTCATCCATGTTGCTGCAAATGGCATTATTTCTTTTGTTTTCCTGGCTGAGTAATATTCCACTATGTATGTATCCCATTCTTCAAGCAGTAAGCCCCCTTCCCCCAAAGTGTTAACCTGCTGAGAAAAAAATAGGTTGTATGTGTCATATTTCTACTCACGCAACCACTCTTCACTGTTCTTATGGAGGACAGCTGTCTGTGAAAGAGAATGAATAAGGGGGGAAATGATCATTGACATGCCTATATTTCAAAAGATTATTACAAAGCAGTTCTTATTAAAGACATCTCTGCCAATAGGTAATTTGAATTGAATGTTCTAGTGATGTCTTTCATTTTGGATACCTGCCATCATCTGGGGCTTTACCTGTTTCTATGACATTATCTATATTTTCAGGTGGAATCCCCCTTTCACTGTTCAGTTCCTGATACTTCTGAAGTTCTTCTTGAGTGTAGCTGGTTCCTTTGCCTGGATTTCATAGCAAACAGGGCAGAAGACGTGTGTGTTAGAATCCTTTATAGGTTATAGAGTGCCACCTGGCTCATTCCTGTAGTGTCCAGTAAGACTCACCAACACCAGTGCCCTCCACCATCATTTAAACCCTGGCTCTCCAGCTGTTTTTCTACAGATGTGCCCGAGTGTGCACACAGGTCTTCAGATGTGTCTGGCGGGTAGAGTCCACATAGTTAACATGTTATTACATTCCAGTTCAGAGAACAACTAATCATTCAGCCGAGACCTTAGGCATCCCGCTGTGAGATACAGTCTTTCATGGGACATCAAAGAAGGTCATGGTGGGTCTGAGACTCAGAATTCCTCCCAACTCTTATCTCTTCCTGTCCACTTTGTCTACATTCTAGAAGTCCATCCCTGGGGTTTTCATGAACGCTTATGAAATGAATGGGTGCAGGAATGATGGGGAAGTTTCAAAACCACACTTATCCTAGTGAGATGGAACAGGACCCTGTGTTCCTTGCCCCACCCACCATGTTTCTGGCCTGCCTTTTGTCTGTGAAATATTTAGGTCAAAGCATAAGTTTAATCAGAGAAATGACAATGTGGGAAAGCAAAGGAAAACAGTCAAAAGAGACCAAATAATAATCATGTAGTCATGAATCAAATAAAAGGACCTGTACTTCCTCCCAAGGACAATAGATGCTGTTCTGGGTCATCTCCTGTGAGTTCTTTGCGACCCCATGGACTGTAGCCCACCAGGCTCCTCTGTCCATGGGGATTTCCCAGGCAAGAACACTGGAGTGGGTTGTTATGCCCACCTCATGGGATGTTCCCTACCCAGGGATCAAACCCAGGTCTCCTGCATTGGACGTGGGTTCTTTCCCATCTGAGCCACCAGTGAAGCCCTATTGTAATGTGTGTGTACTTCTCTTCTTAGTATAAAAGTACTGATCATACAAGCTCATCTACGTAAGCTACAGGACTTACCAAGACCTTCAGTCACTTTTGTGATCTTCTCCCCATCATAGTTTTCAACATAAGTCACCAGCATGTTTTCTGATAGATGAATCAGTTCCAAAGTATTTGCACCTGCATCTGTGACAGGAAAAAACAAACAAACAAAAAACACACAAAAAAACCAAGAACAAACATTCAAACCTCAGTAGGATTAACTTCTTTCCTTTTCAATTGAACATGTCTTATTCTTCACAAGCTCTCTGTCATCCATTTTCCCTCTGATGGTAAACTCTGTCTCAGTGACATTTCTAGTGGTGTGTTGTTAGACTCTTTAACACAACTCGTGAAGTAGGGATGCTCTCTCCACACACCGCTCTCTTGAAGATCTTTAAGACTTCCAGTCTTCTATACTGAGCCTTCTGTGAACGATAGCACAGTTGCTTGTTGCAACTATAGTGTGAGTTGAACCTCAACCATCGCATACCCGCTCACAAGAGCTAACTGGTACATTTTCAGGAATTTTGTGACCCAGTTTGCAAGTACAGTCATGGATAGAAAGGAATTCTAAATAATTAAATGAATCTTAGTGAAATGAAAGGGACTGCATGATCCAGAGTTGTTTCTTAGCACAAAAGTAACAAAAGAGGTACCAGTTAGCCTGTTGCCTAATGTTGGGCATATATACTCTTTAATGATTGCAGATTAGATTCTGTGGTTGCATGTCCACAGTTGAAATTAAAATACTTGCAGCAGACCAGGATTAGAGTGCTCCATTCTATATGTTTTCAATGAAGATGAAACCCATGGACATGTGATCACTTCATGTAATGTTACAGTGTTTATATTAACATTTGAGTACATTTCCTATCATTGTCAACTACAGAGATAGAAATCTATGTGAGTGCCCCTTTCAACTTATGTGTTGATATTATATTTGAGAAATATTTCTTGTTATTTCAAACTGTGGAGATCAAAGTCTATGCTAAAGTCACATTCAGTGTATGTAAAAATTAGTTTAAAACTTTTGCTCTTATTTTGAAGTGAAGCAAAAAATCAGTCGTGTCTGACATCTGTGCACCTCGGCCTGTCACCCAGTAGACTCTCCTGTCCATGGGATTCTCCAGGCAAGAAGACTAGAGTGGATAGTCATTTCCTTCTCCAGGGTACTTCCCAACCCAGGGATCGAACCTGGGTCTCCTGCATTGCAGAGCTCTTACTTTAGCTGTTCTCATTTTGGGACTTGAAATTAATCATGTTCTGCTCACTACAGTTACTAATAAAGAACTTTTAACATTTAAGAAATTTCTTCATTTTAAGCAAATTTGATCATGTAGGTGAAATAAAAAAATATTTTGAGTATAATCTTAAAATAATTATATATGTATACACATATACACATAGATACATACATACATACATATATATGTACACACATATATAATATATATGTACATAATATGTATGTATGTATCTGTATATACACACACACACATGTATATTATATGTACATATATATGTATTACATATACATGTATATACACACATACATATATATAATATATATGAACACATATATAATATATGCATACATTAATGTATAATATATATGTACATATATATATATATATATAATATATATATAATCTTTTGCACTTCACCATGCCCAGGGAACAGGTATAGTCACCATTCTGGGGCTTTCTCCCAGAGCCCATCAATGGACACANACATATATATAATATATATATAATCTTTTGCACTTCACCATGCCCAGGGAACAGGTATAGTCACCATTCTGGGGCTTTCTCCCAGAGCCCATCAATGGACACATTCCACCCTTGGACCTCACCCTGGTGTTGTGGGACAGAGGTGATTCCTGAAAAGTTAAATGGCTCTTCCAAGATTACCTTGGTAGTGAGTAGCAGAAACAGTCCACCCATCCAGACATCTGGTTGTCTTTGATGGAATCGAGGCTATCGAACTGAACACGTTCCATGGTTTGGGGAAGACAGCCCATGTGAAAAGCTGGAATACTCACATTCTATGACATAAACATATCCCTCTTTTCTCTTTGCCACTTCTTTGAGTAACAGGCATGTTCCATCATCCCTGAAAAACCAAGAGACAAAACATTCCTTGCTTGTCATCTCTTACCCAGCCCTTGAGGATGCCCTTGAATAGAGTTTACACCCTCCACTTTGCAGTCATGACCCATGCCTTTCACTGCACATTGGAGCCCAGACCGCATGCCCAACATCAACAGTTTCCTTGCTTTCCACTGTGGGGAGGATGTTGTGCTTACTTGTCATAAAATGTGATGGAGAGGTATTCACAGTCGTTGATACATTCAATCTGACGATAGTAGCCCCTCAGTGAGCCCCCTTCCACAATCTTCTCCTTGTTATCCGCAGCTGCGTAAATGGTACGCCACTCTCCTGGAATCTAAGGAGGAAGGAGGTCTCCATAAACATCAGTCAATATCTTTTATGGTTGCTCACCAGTACCCAGCACCACCTTTGCTTCTGCATTTCACATGGAAGAGAAGTAAATTCAACCTTATTAAGCAGAGTTCTTCCCCCTACCTTGTTGAATAACATGACATGAATTCATGATTCCTATTGGAGCAGAAAACGTAGAGTTCGTGGTTTTTTGAAATAAAACATGTCATGATTGAATGACTCTCTGAATGATAGTGTGTTAAAATTTTTTTTTAAGCCTATAGACAAATAAGATGAAGAAGAAAATGAAAGACTGGTTACACAAAGGGTTGTATTTTGCTCACTGGACCACAGTCCATGATACAATCTGATTATACATATAAATGAGCTTATCTTTTACATGTACACAAAAACAACCAGACATACAGACACACACACTCAAACAAGCAAGACCTTCTAGGAGATCACCTCCTTCTGGGTACCTTTGAGGGGTCTATCTCAGCTGGAGTTTCCTGGGCCCCACAAGCCACACCAAAGAGGAGAGTCAGGAACACAGCCTTCATCTTGTGACCCTTCTGGTCCTTCTAGGGAAGCTGAGCGCATCCCAGTTGTTGGATAGGTTTTGAATTGTTGCACTCTTTATAGGATACGTGTCTTGGCAGAATGCATAATGATCACACAGTGGTTAATCACATGATGCAGTTCCATAGATGTCATCTTCTGACATCCTGGATGGCAGCTGAGCTTTTTTAGTGGTTTTCTGCGGTTCTCATAGAGATATTTATTTTTAGAGAAGCCGCAGTTGGATCTGGACATTAAGTCTTCAGAGTAAATAAGAACTCAGAGAACACTTGAGGTATTTCCAGGACAGTGATATTTATATTCTTGTCCATCCTCAAAGAGTCCAAGACACACATCCTCAACCTCTGTGTTATTTCTCTCATGTTGAAGAGGTCTGTTTAAGCTTATTTTCTAAAAGTACAGATGGCACTGTCCCATTTTAAGAAAATCAGTATGTGTTGTTTCTACCAGGAATCAGTTATCAGCGCATTCCTCAGAGGGGTCTGTATTTTTTTTTATACGAAATTGAAATATATTTGAGGTACAATATTTTTTGTTATAGGTATACCATATAGATATTCATAATTTTATTGCTCCTTTTGAAGTTATAAATATGTAGGCTTTTTTATTGCCTATGTTTTATAATATATATTTATACGTTATTTATTTTAACATAGTAGTTTCTACCTCTTATTCCACTCCTTCGGTCTTAACCTACCATTTTTCTTCACCCCACTGATCACCACTAGTTTCTTCTCTGTATCTTTTCTTGTTATATTCTGGAGTTTGTTTTATTTTTTATTTTACACACATAAGTAGAATGGAGAAGACTCTTGAGAGTTCCTTGGACTGCAAGGAGATCCAACCAGTCTATCGAAAGGAGATCAGTCCTGGGTGTTCATTGGAAGGACTGATGCTGAAGCTGAAGCTCCAGTACTTTGGCTACCTCATGCGAAGAGCTGACTCCTTGGAAAAGACCCTGATGCTGGGAGGGATTGGGGGCAGGAGGAGAAGGGGACGACAGAGGATGAGGTGGCTGGATGGCGTCACCAACTCGATGGGCATGAGGTTGAGTAAACTCCGGGAGTTGGTGATGGACAGGGAGGCGTGGCGTGCTGCGGTTCATGGGGTCACAAAGAGTCGGACACGACTGAGCAACTGAACTGAACTGAAGTAGAATGCAACCCTTTGGCTATCCATTTTTTAATTTTTTTCTTCATCTTTGCCTCTACCAGGAACCAGTTATCAGGGAATTCCTCCGAGGAGTCTCTATTATTTTAATACTGAAATTGCAGTATAGTTGATGTACAGTATTTTTTGTTACAGGTGTAACATATAGGTATTCATACTTTTATTTCTATTTTTGAAGTGATAAAAATATTGGCTTTTTTGTTCCCTATGTTGTACAATTTTTATTTTTCAAATAATCTTTGTCCATTATTTATTTTATACATAGTATTTTGTACGTCTTATTCCATTCCTCGTGTGTGTGTTTCTGACTTCTTTCCCTCAACATAGTCGTTTGAATAAACACATTTATTTATGTTTTTATATATGTTTTTAGACCCTGTTCCCATTGCCCCTGCATAGGATCATCAGGACATGTCCCATGTTTATCTGTTCCAATGTTGATGGATGCATGTTCATAGACAGGTCTTTGTCAGGAACTGAGCCATCTCATCTCATGGGTAGAGACTTAGGTTTGGAACAGCTAGATCTCAGCGCCTTCTGATTTTCGATTTCTGCCAACAGGAGATGAAAATTTCCATTGGTATGTCCTTCCCGGTATTCAGTATGGTCAGTTGTTTTCATTTCGTTATTATAATAATGTGTGATTGTATCCAGTTTCGGTGGTACTTTCCATTTCCTGAATGGATAAAGAGGTGGAATTGCCGTCTGTCAATTTTCTCTGTTAAGTGTCTCTGCAAGTCATTTGTTCATCACTGAGTGAACTATCTGTTTGTTTTCAGTGACGTTAGTACGTTTTTCAACACATTCTGCATATGAGTCTCTTTTCAGACAAAGATATGCCAATAGTTTTCCCCTGTCACTGGCTTGTCTTGTGTTGCCTTAAGCTTGTCCCTCAAAGATGTAAATATTTTGATTGAGGCTTGGTTATTCACGTTCTGTTCCCCATGTGGGATCCTGGTTGGTGTTTATTTTAATCAGCAACCACCTAATCTTTGGTCACAGATTATCCACCTCTAGAGTCTTTCTTGCTTTTGGTCTTAAATGTAGATCTATGAGTCTCTGTGTAAATTGTCAAACATGGACCAATGAAAGGATTGAAGCTCTTATATATGCATATATATGTATTTTTGCATGTGCATTTCCAATTTCTCCAATGCATGCATGCATGCTAAGTCACTTTAGTCGTGTCTGATTCTGTGTGACCCTATGAACAGCAGCCCACCAGGCTCCTCTGTCCACGGGTTTCTCTAGGCAAGAGTACTAGAGTGGGTTGCCATTTCCTTCTCCAAATTTCTCCAATAGTTTTCTCTATAAGATTACTATTTTTTTTCTGAATTTCCTTTTAACTGTTTCCAAAATCTCTTTGTCTGTGTATTCCTGTCCCTTCCCCATGAGCAGATTTGTGTTTTGGTTTGTGTTTCCCCATTCTTGCCTCATTTTTTGGGACAGTGTTAAAGAAAGTTCGAACATGAAGATCACATGGGTGGCCTTCAACAACTTTGTGTCAAAAGCAAAGCATTCATGGTTCACAAGCTTGTGGAAATAGAATTTCTCATCCATTTATGGATCATTGAAAGTGAAAGTCATTCAGTCATGTCCAACCCTTTGCGACCCCATGGACTATACAGTCCTTGGAATTTCTCTAGGCCAGAATACTAGAGTGGGTAGCTGTTCCCTTCTCCAGGGGATCTTCCCAACCCAGGGCTCAAACCAAGGTCTCCAGGCATTGCAAGCAGATTCTTTACCAGCTGAGGCACAACGGAAGCCAGAGTAGTGTGTATTTCATTTCACCAAGGGTGTCTGAAAGAGCAAGACATCAGTTTTGCTATGTTTTGGAGCCAAAACAAATAATTCTTGAATAAATGCTGGCTGCAGAGTTCTCAAAATAAGCAGATACTTATGTTTCAAACATAAGGCTTTAATTAAGTACTACTGTTTTGTGTGTGTGTGTTTTCCTGTCTAGCTATCATTACCTAAGGAGGTCACGTGATTTAAAGAAAGATGTAACGAACAGCATGGTGACTATGACTAATAGTATTGCACAAATACCTGATCAGTCACTTGGAGTAGAATTTTTATGTGTTTTTGTCTCATAGATGCACAGACACACATCCACACACGGGGTTATGTATGTGGAGACAGATGTGTTAGTTTACTTGTGTAAACTAACGTAAATCACCAGTGACCTTTATTCTTTGTCTCTGCCTTCCTGCATCTGAACACTCTGCAAAATTCTAAGAGTTCCTATGTCAACACTGATTAAACTCAACGTACTTGTCATAGATCTGTCTTCCCTAGGATTTGATGTATATTTTTAACTGGATGAAGATACTTGAAAATAATATTTCAGGTAAAACATTTTTTTAACGGTTCATATTTCCTGCCTGGTTTCTAATGTTGCTTTCATGACTCAAACTGAAGATGTTTCTGTTAGAATTTTTGAAACTGTTTTGTGGCGTGTCACAGTGCTCACACTTCTTATAACTTCTTCTCAGTTTGATGTATTTTTTTTTTATTTTAAAACACACAGTGGGTGTTTGTTGCTGTGTTCTGCTTTATTCGACTTGCGGTTGGAGGCCTTCTCATGGTGATGGTTTTCCAGTTGGGGTTCCAGATCACAAGCTCAGTTGGTGTAGCACATGGGCTTGTTTGCTGTGTGGCACGTGGAATCTTTCTGGATCAGGGATTCAGTCTCTGTGTCCCCTGCATTGGCTGGTGGACTCTGAACCACTGGACCCGAAAGTCAGTGTGATTGTTTCTCTGATTGGCTTCTTGTTTTAGGCAGCTTCCTTGGGTGAGACCTCAGTGAGCCTAGCTTCATTCTTTCCGGGGCTATTTTGAGTTGACCTCCACGCTTCCCCAGCAGCAATACTGGACACCTTCCAACCTGGGGGACTCATCTTTCTGTGTCATATCTGTTTGCCTTTTCTTACAGCTCATGGGGTTCTCACAGTGAGAGTATTGGAGTGGTCTGCCACTCCCTCCTGCAGTGGATCACGTTCTGTCAGAACTCGTCGCTATGACATGTCTATTTTGGGTGACCCTGCATGAAAAAGCTCATAGCCTCATTGAGTTATGCCAACCCCTTCACCACACAAGCAGTGGTCCATGAAGCAGGTATAGCTTACTCATCAACTGCTACCGTTCCATTTTCTGTCAACAACTCGAGTTAATGGAGACAAATATATTGACCTTGGAGACCACGATGTGGTTGTTACAAGCATTCAAAGCACATCTAGCTTACAGTGAGTCCTGGCAGGATACATGACCAGTATCCTATCCTGTCTTTTCTGTCACTCCTGCAGCATTTCCGGTGCACCCAAGCCTTCTTCATCCTAAGTTCAGTTCAGTTCATTCACTCAGTCGTGTCTGACTCTTTGCGATCCCATGAACCAGAGCACGCCAGGCATCCCTGTCCATCACCAACTCCTGGAGTCCACTCAAACCCATGTCCGTTGAGTCGGTGATGCCGTCCAGCCATCTCATCCTCTGTCGTCCCCTTCTCCTCCTGCCCTCAATCTTTCCCAGCATCAGGGTCTTTTCCAATGAATCAACTCTCCACAAGGTGGCCAAAGTACTGGAGTTTCAGCCTCAGCATTGGTCCTTCCAATGAACACTCAGGACTGATCTCCTTTAGGATGGACTGGTTGGATCTCCTTGCAGTCCAAGGGACTCTCAAGAGTCTTCTCCAGCACCACAGTTCAAAAGCATCAATTCTTCTGTGCTCAGCTTTCTTCACAGTTCAACTCTCACATCCATACGTGACCACTGGGAAAACCATAGCCTCGACTAGATGGACCTTTATTGGCAAAGTAATGTCTCTGCTTTTGAATATGCTGTCTAGGTTGGTCATAGCTTTCCTTCTAAGGAGTAAGCTCAGGAGCTTACCGAAGGTTCCCTGAGTGGCTAGGACTGCCTCATCTCTCCCATCTCTCTTAAACATCTTACCTGGTCTCTTGTCTCGTCCAGGTGCATGATCTATTTGGTACCCATGATGCTCCTTTCTTCCCATCAGTTAGCGCCAGTCAGTGACTATTACTTTGAAAACTGTCTGATGAGGAACTTCTCTGCAGAGCTTTAGGTAACTCTGCATCTGCAGTGCATCAGCACCCACGTCTCTGCTTCCGGGGTCTCAGCTGCAGAGCGGCCGCCCCTGGTCGGACACCACAGACGCCGTGCTTTGTGAACACCATCAGGCCTCCTTCTTTGGTGAATGCTGCTCACTCTCGTTGTCTGTGTGGGTGAGCTCAGTTGATAAGTTGTGTCTGACTCTTGCGACCCCATGGTCTATCGCCCACCAGGCCCCTGTGTCTCTGGGGTCCCCCAGGCAGGAATCCTGCAGTGGGTTTCTGTTTCCCCCTCTGCGGTGTCTTCTCGGCCCGGGGATCAAAGGTTCATTCTTGTGTCTCCTGCTGCAGGTGAATGCTGCTTAACCCCACACTTGAGTTGTTTTCAGATGTTACACTGGACACCTCGGATTCTCTCTGAGGTTGTCTGATGAACCAGTTCCACCTCTCACATGACATCTGACAGGAACATTATGTCACCATATGCAACTAGCATCTGTGGTTTATTCTCTCTTCTCATGAACACACTTGCTGGATTCACACCATGCGCCCTAAACAGCATTATGTCCTCCTTTGTACACTCAATTTTCTTCATAGCTGAATTGACCTGTTTTGTGCACTTGCCTGTAGAAGCTTTCTTCACTACACATATATGCATTAATGAATTTACTGATCAGTTTAGGAATCCAGTAACATCAGGAAGAACAGAGGACAGTCATAGTTGGAAAACCATGGGTTCTGGGTCGTGATTTCCTGGGAGAGAAGGGATGATGATTTCAAGGAAAAGATCTATTATCTTCATACGTATGATTGGGACACATTACTGCTTCAATGCTGCTTGCATTCTTACATCATTCTTTTCTTTAAGCCTGAAAGGAGAGTAAAGCGTTGTTGAGCTGACTAGGATTAACATGACATTTCCCAGAGGAGAAATTAGAAAAGCGGTTTTTGATGGAAACAGTGGAGAAATTTTCCTACAAGATTTATTTCACTGAAGTTCATCTCTGTGTGCTTGCCCCTGTGGGGTTGCATGGAGTTACCACCTGGTGAAATTAGTTGTGAGCAGTCCGGTATCTGGTCTTATGTTGACAGGTACTAAGGTACGTATTCACAGCTCTGAAATGTAGGAGATTATAATCTATGTGAAACGTGCCACTTACATCTTCTGAAGTCTCTCTCTCTTTTTTTTTTTTCATTTATTTTTATTAGTTGGAGGCTAATTACTTTACAACATTGCAGTGGGTTTTGTCATACATTGACATGAATCAGCCATGGAGTTACATGCATTCCCCATCCTGATCCCCCCTCCCACCTCCCTCTCCACCCGATCCCTCTGGATCTTCCCAGTGCACCAGGCCCGAGCACTTGTCTCATGCATCCCACCTAGGCTGGTGATCTGTTTCACTATAGATAATATACATGCTGTTCTTTCGAAATATCCCACCCTCGCCTTCTCCCACAGAGTCCAAAAGTCTGTACTGTACATCTGTGTCTCTTCTGAAGTCTCATTTATCATCATGAATGGGCTGTGGCTGCAGGGTCCTTCATTCACAGTGTGATTCCCTAGCGATCATCATAACTCACAGCTCAGGGCTTCACACAGTCTCCTCCTTTGTCCTCAAAGCATCTTTCTGTGGAGTCTAGACCATGTCAGTCTTTAGATATTGAATCCAAAGACTTAAGGAAGTCTGAGCTTTTGACATGTGGCAATATGAAACGTTTTGTCATCCTATTATTTTTTAAAATTGACTTATTGACGTGTAGTTGATGTGCAATGTTTTATTAGTTTCGGGTATAGAGGAAGGTGATTCATTTATACATTTGTTGTTGCTGAGTCACTAAGGTGTGTCCCAAATTTTGTGTCCTGTGGACTATATCTTGCCAGACTCTTCTGTTCATTGGATTTTCCAGGCAGGAATACTGGATGGGGTTTCCATTTCCTACTCCAAGGGATCTTCCTGACCCAGGGATAGAACCCTCCTCTCCTGTGTTTCCTGCCTTGGCAGGCAGATTCTTGACCTCTGAGTCACTTTGGAGCCCTCATTTATATATATGTAGGTAAATGTATACCTGTTTATGGATTCTTCTTCTAAGTTATTACAAGACATTGAGTAGAGTTCTCTGTGCTATCCAGTGGATCTTTTTGGGTTGATTTTATATATTTTAGTGTGTATCTGGTCATCCTAATTTACCCTTTGCCTGCTTCCCCTTTGGTAGCCATTCATTTAGTCTATGTTTGAGAGTCTGTTTCTGTTTTATGAATGGTTCATTTGCATCACACTTTGGACTCCACATGGAAGTCTTAGCATATATTTGCCCTTCTCTTTCTGACTGTCTTCTCTCAGTAAGGTCACCTCTAGGTCCATTCATGTTGCTGCAAGTGGCATTATTTCATTCTTTTTCATGACTGGGTAATATGACATTCTGTATGTGTCCCATTCTTAAAGCAGTTAAAAAAAACCCTTCCCCAAAGTGTTAACCTACCAAAAAGAAGCTCAGCCTTGTCATCTGTCACACGTGTACTCACCCAACTGATGTTCTCTGTTCTTAAGGAGAACAGTTGTCTGTGAGAGAGAATGAATAAGGGGAAAGATGACCATTGACATGCCTCTATTTCAAGGGATTATTTCAAAGCAGCTTTTATAACAGATGTCTCTGCGAAAGGGAAGTTTGATATTAATGTCCTTGTGATGTGTTTTCATTTCGGATACCTGTTGTCCTCTGGGGCTTTACCTGTTTCGATGACATTTTCAGTATTTTCATTTGGAATCCCCCTTTCACTGTTCAGTTCCTGATACTTCTGAAGTTCTTCTGCTGTCTCCTCTGCCTGGGTTTCATAGCAAACAGGGCAGAAGAGTTTAGCATTACACTCCTCTATAGAGTGTCACCTAGCTGATACCTGTAGTGTCTAGTAAGACTCACCAACACCGCTGCCTTCCACCATCACCTAAACCCTGCTCTCCAGGTAGTTTTCCACAGACCAGCCTGAGTGTGCCCATAGGTCTTCAGATTTTTCCATGGGGTAGAGTCCACATAGCTAACAAGTTACCACATTCCTGTTCTCACAAGTACTGAGTGAGCTACACATCATTAAGCTCACAGCTGTGAGTTTAAGCATGCCCCCGTGAGATGCAATCCTTCTTGGTACATTGAAGAAGTTCATGGCAAGTCTGAGACTCAGAATTCCTCCCAACTCTATAACTCTTCCTGTTCACTTTGTCTACATCCTAGAATTCCATCCCTGGGGTTTTGCATGAGCCCTCATGAAATGAATGGGTGGGGAATGATCTGGAATTTTCAGAAGCACACTGACCCCATTGAGACAGTGTGAGACAGTGCAGGGCCTTATGTTCCTTGCCCCACCCCTGATATTTTCAGCCTGCCTTTTGTCTGTGAAAGGTTTCAGTCAAAAAGTAAGTTGAATCGGAGAATGGAGAATGTCGGATAGCAAAGGGAAACAGACAGAGGAGATGAAATAATAGTAATGCAGTCATGAAGCAAAGACAGGGGCCTGCAGTTCCTCCTCGAGGGCAATAGACATTATTCTGGGTCATAGCCTGTGAGCGGTTTTATGCACACTGAGACCCCCACCCAGTGGACAAGTTTACTGCATGATGACCAGACTGCAGCCGTGACAGAAGCTGCCACCATTTAGAGAACTGACGTCCAGGGCACGGAAAGATAGCGACCCTGGAACTGAAGATTAAGTGTCCTGACTACATCCAGATAACGCTGGCCAACCGCTCATGACCGATTTCAAAATGACTGTCGAGGCTGACTGCTGTTTTTGCAAGGAGCCCCCTCCCTCTGTCTATAAAAGCCCTTGCCCCACTGGTTGCCAGTTGTGGGGTGGGGCAGTCAGCCTTTGGACAGAAACCCACTCTCCCCACTTGTCATCGGCATATGAATGAAAGCAGACATTGCTTCCTAGGAAACTGGGCTCTTAGTTGGCTTTTGAAAGGCAGGCAGCAGGAACCCACTTTTGGTACCAACATCACACACACACTACTCAGGGTTTCGTTCAGGCTTTGTCATCCTCAAATACGAGACAGAACAGCCATCCACCTCCAATGCCCATATAATACCACAAAGGATAAAGGGATGTCAGAGAACCCAGGGGACTGGGCGGATGGCAGAATGATTGACATGCCTGGCCACACTTCCTCTGCAGGATTCAGTATCATCGAGAGATGCTTGCAGAGCTTTGTGTTCAGGTTCAGGCAGTATTTTAAATATTGTGACGAAGAAGAAAGCGTTTGTTGTAGAGATGAATGCAGCCGTGGCCAGGACCTGAGTCTGCTAAACTCAGATTTAAACCTTGGTTCACTTTGGTCTCAGGACCTGGCAACTCTGTTGTGTTACTTGGCAAGAAACTCATGGAGTTTCCTGGAATATTTCATTTGAAATCTGGGACAAGTGTACCTCATGTTTAAAAATGCCACCTGATGGAATTCTCAGTAGATACATTTCCTCATTTTTCTAGCAGACAGACTTTCTATATCCTTGATTCATGTCACGTGAAGTCTGAATTCTCCATGTGAACACACATCTGTTCCAGGGTTCTTCATATGAGGTGCTGTGGTTAGTTGCTCCGTCCTATCTGACTCTTTCTGATCCCGTGGACGCTTGTCTGCCAGGCTTCTCTGCCCATGGGATTCTCCAGGCAAGAATACTGCAGTGTATTCCCATGCTCTCCTCTGGGGGTTTCTTGACCCAGGGATAGAATCCAAGTGTCCTACATTGCAGGTGGGTTCCTTCCTGTCTTGAGCAGCATCAAAGCCATAATATAAGGTATCTGTGTACTTCTCACATTACTATAAAAATAGTAATCATATGAACACATCTACTATGTATTGGATAAACTACAGTACATACCAACACCTTCAGTAATTTTTGTGAGCTTCTCTCCATCATCATTTTCAATATAAGTTACCAGCATGTTATCTGATATGTGAATCAGTTGAAAAACATTTGCACTTGAGACTGTGACAGAAAAAGAAAAAAATCAAGCCTCAATATGATTAACTTCTTTTATTTTCACTTGAGTTTGTCTTTTTCCTCACATGTTATCATCAGCCTTCCCTCAGATGGTGAATTGTATCTTATTGACATTTCTAGCAGTGTGTTGTTAGAACCAGTTAAGCTAGCTAGTGAACTAGGAAAGCTTTCTCCACACCCCCTTCTCCTGAAGAGAATTAAGACTTCCAGTCTTCTAGACTGAGCAGTCTGTGGGCGAGGCAGAGCTTCTCACTGCAGCTTTCACAGGTGTTGGACCTCAGCCGTCTCACGCCAGCTCACAAGAGCTGACTGTTAAATTTTCAGGAGTTTTGTGACCCAATATGGACGTGCAGTCATGGTTAGAAAGGAATTCTAATAATTTGAGTGAATCATAGTAAAATAAATTTAATGCCCAATCCAGAGTTATTTCCTGGTACAAGAGCTAATAAAAGAGGTACAAATTAGTCTATTGCACATTGTTGGACATACATACTCTGCAGTGCTTGCAGATTAGATCCTGTGACTGTGTGTCCATAGTTGAAATTAGAAAAGATTCATCAGACAGAGATTAGAATCCTCCTTTCTACACTCTTTCCATGAAAGTGAAATATATGGATATTTGATCACTTATTATATTACAGTACTGATACTAATATTTGAGAATTATTTTCTGTTATTTTTCAACTACAGAGATAGAATCTCTGTTAATGCCCCTTTCAAATTATGTGTTGGTATTTATATTTGAGAATTATTTATCCTTATTTTAAGCTATAGAGATAGAAATCTATGTTAAAGTCCCTTTCAATTATGTAAAAATTGGTTTAAACTTTTGGGCTGTTATTTTTGCTCTTCTCATCTTTTTGGGCTTTAAGTTAATCATGTTCTACTTACTGGACGTGCTAATGAAGAACTTTTAATATTTAAAGAACTTCTTTAGTTATTGCAAATTTGATCGTGTAGGTAAAATTAAAAAAAAAAATTTGAGGGAGTTATTACAATCCTAAGTAAGTCTGCACACTTTTCCATGCCCGAGGAACACAAGGAGTCAATGTTTTGGGATTTTCCTCAGAGACCACGAATGGCCACATTCGACCCTTGGACCTCACCCTGGTGTTGCGGGCCAGAACTGATTGCTGAAAAATGAGATGGCTTTTTCAGGGTTGCACTGGTAATGAGTAGAGGAAATGGTCCACCCATCCAGACATCTAGTTCTGTTGAATGGAACCAAGACTATCCATCTGAACATATCCCATGGTTTTCTGGAAGACAACCCATCTGAAAAACTCAGATACTCACATTCTGAGATGTAAGCATCTCCTTCTTGTCTCTTTATCACTTCTGTGAATGACTGGCATCTCCCGCCATCCCTGAAAACCAAAGAGACAAGGCATTCCTTCCCACCGTTCACTCCCCAGGCCTTGAGGACACCCTTCTGGGAATAGAGTTCATACACTCAGCTTCACAGCCCTGATTCACACCTCTCACTGCACATTAGAGCCCTGACCCCATGTCAGAAGCCAGCAGACGTCTTGTTCTCAGTTGAGGAGGATTGTGCTGCCTTGGCATAAAATGTAGTGGAGAGGTATTCGCCGTCATTGATACATTCAATCTGACAATAGCAACCCCTCCGTGGTCCCCCTTCCACAATTTTCTCCTTGTTATCTGCAGCTGCGTAAATGCTGGGCCACTCTCCTGTACCTAACAAGGAAGGTCTCTGTAAACACCAGTCAATCTCATAAATGTCACCAATACACAGCACTATCTTGGTTCTGCATTTACCACAGAAGAGAAGCGAATTGAATCTTATAAAGCAAAGAAGAGTAATAAAAAATGTTTGCTCCCTGGAAGGAAGGTTATGACCAGCCTAGACAGTGTATTAAGAAGCAGAGACATTTCTTTGCCAACAGAGGTGCCACTAGTCAAAGCTATGGTTTTTCTAGTGGTCATGTATAGATGTCAGAGTTGAAGTATAAAGAAAGCTGAGCACAGAAAAATGGATGCTTTTGAACTGTGGTGTTGGAGAGGACTCTTCAGAGTCCCTTGGGCTGCAAGGAGATCCAACCAGTCCACCCTAAAGGAAATCAGTCCTAAATATTCATTGGATGAACCTATGCCGAAGCTGAAACTCCAGTGCTTCTGCCACGTGATGCTAAGAACTGACTCACTAGAAAAGACCCTGATGCTGGGAAAGGTTTAAGGCAGGAGGAAAAGGGGATGATAGAGGATGAGATGGTTGGATGGTATCACTGACTCAATGTAAATGAGTTTCAGTGAGCTCCGGGAGTTGGTGATGGACAGGGAGGCCTGGTATGCTGCAGTCCATGGGGTCGCAAAGAGTCGGACACAAGTGAGTGACTGAGCTGGCTCACTGCCACAAAGAGGAGTTCCATGTCCTACGTTGCTGATTAACATGACCTGAGATCACGATTTCTGTTGGAGCAGAAAGCATAGAATTCAGAGTTTTTTTGTAACAGCTGAAACAACGCCAGTAAAGGCCATGACAGTTCATAACTTTCTTTTTTTTGTTTTCATTCATTTTTATTAGTTGGAGGCTCTACTAATAAAATGAATGTTGGCATGTTTGCCTTTTTGTTTTGCTTTGTTTTACCTACAGACATACAAGATAGAAGAAAAATACGAAGAGCAGGTAGACCGCGTGTTGTGTTGCGTTCGTGTAGATACGTGGACCATGGTATGTGTACCATCTGGTCAAACATATAAATAAGAATGTCTCTGTCATGTGCACACAGAACATCTTGACACACACAGGCACACACACGCACACAATAATTAGCAGCACCTTCTAGTAGATCAGCTCATTCTGGGTACCTTTGAGGGGTCTATCTCAGCTGGCGTTTCCTGGGCGGCACAAACCAGGACAAGGACAAGACTCAGCAACAGAACCTGCATCTTGTGACTCTTGTTGTCCTTGTTCTAGACAAGCTGGGGGCGCCCCAGGTGTTGGAGGGAATGTGAATTGGTTCCACTTTTTTATAAGATGCGTCTCTTGGCGGAATATCTGTTGATCAAACAGTGGATAATCACCAGATCATGGTGACCTAAATGTAATCTCCTGACATCCTGGTTGGCAGCTGAGCATTTTGGCATTCTGTGCTTCTTATACAACCCCTGTGTTATTTCTTCCACATTGAAGAAGTCTGTTTAAGCTTATTTTCTAAAACCAATGATGGCACCTTCGGTTTAAGAAGATAAATATGTGGTGCCTCTACCAGGAATCAGTTATGAGGAAATTCCTGAGAGGTCAATATTTTTTATTTTTAATATTGAAATTGCAGTATAGTTGATGTACAATATTTTTTGTTACAGGTGTACCATATAGGTATTCATAATTTTATTTCTCCCATTGGAGTTAAAGAAATATTGGCTTTTTTATTCCCTATGTTTTCCAATGTTTAGTTTTCAAATAATCTTTGTATATTATTTACTTTATGCATAGTACTTTGTACGTCTTATTCCACTCCCCATGTGTGCATTACTGATTTCTTTCCCTCAGCATATTTGTTTCAATAAACAGCTATATATTTTTGTAGACTCCTTTCCCATTGCCCCTGCATAGTATCATCAGGAAATGTCCCACATTTATCAATTCCAGTGTTGATGAATGCATGTTCATAGACAAGATTTAGTAAGGAAGTGAGCCATCTTATCTCCTGGGTAGGGACTGAACTGCTGGGTCTCAGTGCCTCTGATTTTCGATCCCTGCCAACAGGAGATGAGACTTTCCATTGCTCCATACTTGCCAGGACTCTGTGTGGTCAATTGTTTTCATTTCAGAGACTGATAAATGTGTGCACATACAACTGTCAGGCAATTAGAGCAGAACTTTAAGCATTTCTCTCTCTCTCTCTCTCTTTCTCTCTCTCTCTCACACACACACACACACACACACACACAGCTCTGTGCTGGAAGTGAGTAACCCCTCTCTCTCTCTCTCTCTCTCTCTCTCTCTCACACACACACACACACACACACACACACACGGGGTAACTATGATGTCAGGAGACAGATGTGTTGGATAACTTGTTTCTTATGTAAATCACCAGCGAAATTTTTTCTTTGACTCTACCTTCCTGCTCCTTAAATCCCTGCAAAATTCTATGCATTCGTATATCGTGTTTAAACTTTTACGTTTAAACTGTTTGAACTTCATCCCCTCATGAGAGATGGTCCCTCTTCCTCAGGATTTGATATGATTTCAACTGGATAAATATCCTTGAAAATAGTTTTTCAGACAAAATTCTTTAATGGTTCATATTTCCTGCCCGGGTCCTAATGTTGTTTTCGTTATTCAAACGGCAACTCTTTCTCTTAGCATTTTAAAAACTCTTTTAGCGGTATGTCTCAGTGGTCACACTTATAACCTCTGCTCAGCTCTTTTTTTTTGAATTTAGAAACACACTGGGTGTCAGTGCTGTGTTCTGCTTTTCTTTTACTTGCAGTTGGAGGGCTTCTCACGGTGATGGTTCTTTGTTGGGTCTCTTTAGCACAGGCACGGGTGATGAGGTGCATGGATTTGGTTGTCACACAGCATGTGGGATCTTCCCCGATGAGGAATTCAGTCTGCGTCCCCTGCACTGGCAGGTGGGTGCTGAACCACTGGATGCCTAGAGAAGCTCCACGGCTGTTGTTTCTTCCTGTCTCTTAGTTTTCATTCTTGTTTTAGGCTGGCTGGCTTTGGTGAGACCTACGTGAGCATAGCTTCATTCTTTCCGGGCCTATTAGCAGCTGTCCTTCACACCTTCCCAGTAGCAATATCGGACACCTTCCCACCTGGGGGGGCAATGTTCAGTGTCATATCTGTTTGCCACTTTATAAAGTTCATGGGGCTCTCAGAGCAAGAATACTCGAGTGGTTTACCACTCCTGTCCCACAGTGGATCTCATGTTGAGTCAAAACTCTTCACTGTGACCCATCTGTCTTGGGTGGCCCTGCACGAAATGGCTCATAGCTTTGCTGAGTTATGGCAGCCCCTTCACCACACAAGGCAGTAATCTGTGGAGGGGGTATAGCTTAGTTGACAACCACTCTTGTTCTGTATTCTGGCAAAAACTGGAGTCAAAGGACACAAATACCTTGACCTTGGAGAGCTGTGTCTGTCTGCATTCAAGGTGCGTGCAGCTTACAATGAGCCCTGGCAGGGGTACATGATCAGTGCCCTATTCTGTCTTTCCTGTCATCCTGCAGCATTTCAGGTGCACCCAGCCTTCCACGTCCTCAGGACTCTACCAGAGGTCTGCGGAGTGGTCTGGGACTGCCTAGTCTTTCCCATCCCCGTTAACACATTTTTCCTGGTCTCTTGTCTGCTCGAGTGGCATGACCTACGTGATGCCAAAGATGCCCCTTTTTTTCAAATCAGTTGGCACTCATCAGTGACTATTGCTTTGAAAAATCTCTGATGAGGAGCTTGTATGCAGAGCTCTAGGTAATTCTGCACCTGAAGCAAGGCCTCTGCTTCTGGGCTTTGAGCTGCAGAGTAGCACCCCCTCCCCAGTCGGACACCACAGACCCCGTGTTTTGTAAACATCATCAGTGCTCTTTCTTTAGTAAACACTCTTCGCTTTTGTTGTGTGTGTGTGTGTGTGTACTCAGTTGATAAATCGTGTCTGATCTTGCGATCCCGACCCCATGGACTGTAGCCTGCCAGGCTCCTCTGTCCATGGGATTCTCCAGGCACGATTAATGCCATTACCTTCTCCAGGGCATCTTCTTGACCTCGGCATCTAACCTGTGTCTCAGGCGTCTCTTGCATTTGTGCGTGTATTTTTTTTTTGACCACTGCACCCTCTGGTAGCTCATGTAAGACTGCATTCTGCAATATCCTTCCCACCCCTGCAGGCACACATCAGATGCATGCTGCTCAATGCCATACTTGTGCTGTTTTCAAGTGCCACTTTGAACAACTCAGAGTCTGTTTCTAGTTGTCTGACTAACCAATCCCATCTCTCATGTGACATCTGGTCAGGATCTTATATTACCATATAAAACTGCCATCCGTGTTACAGTCACTCTTCTCACAAAGACACTTGTATGATTCACACCATGCGTCCTAAACAGAGTTTTCTCCCCTTTCCTTGTACACTAGGTTTGCTGCATAGTTGAAATTACGTGTTTTGTGTGTTTGTAAACAGGGCACCTTTGTTCACCACACATACGTGCTTTAATCAATTTATTGATCAGTTTAGGAATCCAGTAACATCAGCAGGAGCAGAGGACATTCATAGCTGGAAAGCCATGGGTTCAGATTCTTGATATCCTGGGAGAGAAGAAATGATGATTTCCAGGAAGAGGTCTCATATCTTCATCTGGATGATTGGGACACATTAGTAGTTCGATGCGGCTCATATGCGTATTTCGTTTTTTCTTTAAACATGAAAAAAAAAAAAAGTAAGATGTTGTTGAGCTGATTAGGATTAATGTGATATTGGCCAGAGCATGCAAGATAAAAGAGAAGCAGTTGCTGGTGGAAGCAGTGGAGAAATGATCCTACAAGACCCTTTTCACAGAAGTCCCTCTGTGAGTGTGGCCCTATGGGATTGCATAGAACTACCACCTGGTGAAAGCAGATGTGAGCAGCCCTGGATCAGCTCTTATGCTGAGGGTCACTGAGTGACATATGCAGAGGCCTGAGATGGAGGAGACTATACCCTGTGTCACCTGTGCGGCTTACATCTTCTGTCGTCTCGTGTATCATCATGAATGTGTTGTGGCTGCACGGTCCGTTCATTCACAGTGGGATTCACCGGGGCGCATCATATCTCACAGCTCGGGGCTTCACCCAGCCTGCTCCTCTGTCCTCAGAGCGTCCCACTGTGGCGTCTAGACCGCTGCCAATGTTTAGATAGTTAATCCAAATACGAAGGAAGCCGAGCCATTGCTCCCTGGCAGAGTGGACTGCCTTGTTATCCTATTCTTTTTTTTTCTAATTAATTTTAATTGAAAAGTCCTTGGTTTGTGATGCTGTGTTACTTTCAGCCGTAAAGCAACGTGATTTATTTATACATTTGTTGTTGTTGTTTAGCCGCTAAGTCATGTCCTCCCCTTTGTGTCCAGTCGACGATAGCCTGCCAGACTACTCTGTCTTTTGGATTTTCCAGGTGAGAATACTGGTGTGGGGTACCATTTCCTACTCCACGGGCATCTTTCCCTGCCGGGGATAGAACCTGACTCCCCTGTGGCTGCTGCGTTGGCAGGCAGATCCTTGACCTCTGAGTCACCTGGAAAGCCCTCAGTAAATGTAGGGGAATGGATACCGTTTTACATTCCTGTCCTTACGAATCACTGCAAGACATTGAGGATAGTTCTCTGTGCTCTCCAGCAGGTCTTTATTGTTTATTTTATATATTTTACTGTGCATCTGTTCAAATTCCTAGTTGATCCCTTGCCTACTTCCTCTTGGTAACCGTTAATGTTGTCCGCGTATGAGATTCTATTTCGGTGTTATAAATGGTTCACTTGCATCATATTTTACATCCCACATGGAACTGATAGCATATGATATTTGCCTTTCTTTCTGACTCACTTCACTCACTAAGATCATCTCCAGGTCCATCCACGTTGCTGGAAATGGCATTATTCCATTCATTTTCATGGCCAGATAATATTCCGTTACATATGAAAACCATTCTTAAGGCAGTACAACCCCCCGCCAAAAAAAAAAGTGTGAGCCTAGTGAAAAAAAGCTGTGTGTTTGTGTCACATTTCTACTCACCCAAACTGATGTTCTCTTTTCTTATGCAGGACAGTTGTCTGTGAGAGAGAATGAATGAGGGAAGAAATTACCATTGACATGCCTCTATTTCAAAGGATTATTTCAAAACAGCTTTTATCAAAGATGTCTCTGTCAATAGGAAATCTGACTTGAATGTCCTCGTGGTGTGTTTTCACTTTGGATGCCTGCTGTCTTCCGGGGCTTTACCTGTTTCGATGCCATTTTCTATATTTTCATTCGGGATCCCCCTTTCACTGTTCAGTTCCTGATACTTCTGAAATTCTTCTTGAGTGTAACTGTCTCCTTTGGCTGGATTTCATAGTAAAAAAGGCAGAAGAGGTGTGTGTTAGAGTCTTTTATAGGTTATAGAGAATCACCCGGCTCGTAGCTGTAGTGATTGCTAAATCTCACCAAAACCATTGCCCTCCACCATCACCTAAACTCTGCTCACCAGGTATTTTTCTAGTCATGCCCGAGATGCACACAGGTTTTCAGATGGGTCCATGGGGGTAGAGTCCACATAATTAACATGTTATCATGTTTCAGTTCTCACAACTAGTGAGTAAACTACAGATCACTCGCATGTGAGCTTAAGCCTGCCCCACTGAGATGCAATCGTTTGTGGTACATTGGAGAAGGTCATGGTGGGTCTGAGACTCAGAATTCCTCCCAGCACTAACTCTTCCTGTCCACTTTGTCTGCATCCTGGAATTCCATCCCTGGGGTCTTCATGAACCCTCATGAAATGAATGGAGGGCGCAAATGATTTGGAATTTTCTAGCCTGCCAGGCTCCTTGTCCATGGGGGTTTTCCAGGCAAGAATATTGGAGTAGGTTGCCATGCCCTCCTCCAGGCGATATTCCCAGCCCAGGGATCGAACCCAGGTCTCCCTCATTGCAGGCAGATTCATTACCATCTGAGCCAGCAGGGAAGCCCTAATATAAGGTATGTGTTTTCCTCTCTCCTTACTATAAAAATATTGATCATATGAACACATCTCCTTTGTATTGGATAAGCTACAGTACATACCGACGCCTTTAGTTATTCTTGTGATCTTCTCTCCATCATAATTTTCAATGTAAATTACCAGCATGTGGTCTGATGCATGAATCAGTCGCAAAACATTTGTACCCGCGACTGTGAGAGAAAAAGAATTCAAATTTCACTATGATTATTTGCTTTCCTTTCCAATGAACATGTCTTATGCTTCACACGCTATTGTCTGTTTTCCCTCTAATTGTGAGCTTTATCTCATTAACATTTGTAGTGGTGTGTTGTTAGAACCAGTTATGACAGCTAGTGAACTAGGAAAGCCTTCTACACACTGCTTTCACCTGAAGATAATTAAGACATCCAGTCTTCTAAACTGAGGAGCCTGTAAATGATAACAAAGTTTCTCATTGCAACCATCCTGGGTGTTGAACCTCAACCATCTCCTACCAGCTCACAAGAGCTATCTGTTGAATTCTGTGACCCAGTTTACAAGTACAGTCATGGGTAGAAGGGAATTCTAAAAATTTAAATGAATAATGTTAAAATGAAAGTTAATACATCATCCAGATTTATTTCCTAGTACAAGAAGCAATTAAACAGGTACAAATTACTCTACTGCAAAATGTTGGACATATATATTCTGAAATTATTGCAGGTTAGATCCTGTCACTGCATGTCCACATTTGAAATTAATATAAATGCATCAGACCAAGATTACAGTGCTTTGCTGTACATTTTTTTTTCCTTGAAAATGAAACATAGGGACATATGCTCGCAATATAATCTTACAGAATTGATATTCATATTTGAGAATTATTTCCTTTTATTTTCAACTACTAAGGTAGATGTCTATATTAATGCCCATTTCAAATTTTGTATTTCTATTCATATTTGAGACTTATTTCTTATCTTAAACTACAGAGATAGAAGTCTATGCTAAAGTCCCATTCAAATTATGTATAAATCAGTTTTAAATTTTTGCTCTTATTTTTGCTCGTAAGTTTTCTCATTTGGGGCTTTCAATTAATCATGTTATACTTACTGAACTTGCTAATAAAGAACTTTAAATATTTAAAGAATTTCTTAAGGCAGATTTGATCATGTAGGTAAGATAAAAGGTAGAACAATGTAGGAAAGAGTCATTATAGTCTTAGGTCATTTTGTGCACTTCCTCATGCCCAAGGAACACAAGTAGTCACCATTCTGGGGCATCTTCTCAGGGACCATCACTGGCAACATTATACCTGTGGACCTCATTCTGATGTTGTGGGACAGTATTGCTTCCTGAAAAATTAACTGGCTTTTCCAAGGTTGCCTTGGTAATGAGTAGAGGGAATAGGCCACCCGTTCAGACATCTAGTCTTGGATGGAACCAGGACTATCCATCTGAACATGTTTCATGCGACACCCCACTGGAAAAGCTCAGATACTCACATTCGATGATGTAAACATCTCCTTTTTGCCTCTTTGCCTCTTCATGGAACAACTGGCATGTCCCGTCAAGCCTGAAAAACAGACGAGAAATTCCCTCTCACCATCCATGCCCCAGGACTTGAGGACACCCTTCTGTGAGTAGAGTTCACACGCTCAACTCCACAGCCATGAGCCACACCTTTCACTGCACCCCGTGTGGGAAGTCCACAGCCTGCTTGTTCTCAGTTGGGTCAGATTGTGCTTACTTGACATAAAATGTAAGGGAGAGGTATTCGCAGCCATTAATACATTCAATCTGACGATAGAGACACCTCAGTGGGCCCCCTTCCGCAATCTTCTCCTTGTTATCCGCAGCTAAGTAAATGGTGCGCCAGTCTCCTGTAACCTAAGAAAGAAAGTCTCCATAAACATCAGTTGGACTTTTTTCTGGTTCCTCACCAATACACAGCAGCATCTTTGCTTCTGTGTTTACCCCAGAGCAGAAGTAAATTGAATCTCATTAAACACAGAAGAGGTCTACCCCCTACTTTGTTGAATAACATGACATAAATTCATGATTCCTATTTGAGCAGAAAGCATAGAGTTCAGAGAATTTTGCACAGAGTTTTTTGAAATAGCGAAAAGAAAGCCAATAAAGACTGTGATGGTTCATCACTTTCTGAATGACCACGTTAGGCTTTTTTTTTTTTTTTTGAACGTAAAGAGAAAGAACAGCAACACCAAAAAACCCCAAAAATACAAAAAGCAGCTCATGTAGTTAATGGACCATGATATGTATACAATCTGGTCATCCTATAAACACGAAAGCTGTGTCACACGCACACACAACCTCACAGACTCCCCCTTCCGCAATCTTCTCCTTGTTATCCGCAGCTAAGTAAATGGTGCGCCAGTCTCCTGTAACCTAAGAAAGAAAGTCTCCATAAACATCAGTTGGACTTTTTTCTGGTTCCTCACCAATACACAGCAGCATCTTTGCTTCTGCGTTTACCCCAGAGCAGAAGTAAATTGAATCTCATTAAACACAGAAGAGGTCTACCCCCTACTTTGTTGAATAACATGACATAAATTCATGATTCCTATTTGAGCAGAAAGCATAGAGTTCAGAGAATTTTGCACAGAGTTTTTTGAAATAGCGAAAAGAAAGCCAATAAAGACTGTGATGGTTCATCACTTTCTGAATGACCACGTTAGGCTTTTTTTTTTTTTTTTGAACGTAAAGAGAAAGAACAGCAACACCAAAAAACCCCAAAAATACAAAAAGCAGCTCATGTAGTTAATGGACCATGATATGTATACAATCTGGTCATCCTATAAACACGAAAGCTGTGTCACACGCACACACAACCTCACAGACACACACACGCAAACACACACTCACACACTCAAACAAGCAAGGCCTTCTAGCAGATCAGCTCATTCTGGGTACCTTGGAGGGGTCTATCTCAGCTGGAGTTTCCTGGGCAGCACAAACCAGGACAAGGACAAGAATCGGCAACACAATCTTCATTCTGACTCGTGTTGCTCCTTCTAGACAAGCTGTGGGCGCCCCAGTTGCTGGAGAGGTTGTGAGTCGGTTCCACTTTTTATAGGATACGTCTCTTGGCAGAATACATATTGATCAAACTGTGGTTGATCACAAGCCCTTAGTTCCATACACATCAGCTTCTGACATCCTGCTTGGCAGCTGAGCTTTTTGGCATTCTGTGCTTCTGATGAAACTCCTGTGTTATTTCTTTCACGTTGAAGAGATCTTTTAAAGCTTATTTTCTAAAACTAAAGATGACATTGTCTGGTTTAAGAAGATAAATATGTGGTGTCTCTACCAGGAATCAGTTATCAGGGCATTCTTCCGAGGGGTATTTTTTTTTTAATATTTCAACTGAAGTATAATTGATGTACAGTTTTTGTTGTTGTTCTTGGGTATCATGTAGATATGTATAATTTTATTTCTCTTTCTAATGTTATAAAAGTATTGGCTTTTTTATCCCCTATGTTATACAGTATATTTTTGCACATTATTTTTTTCTCTATATAGTAGTTTGCACCTCTCGTTGCACTCCTCCTGTCTTAACCCACCACTTTCCATCATCCCACTCATCACCGATAGTTTGTTCTCTCTGTGTCTGCTCTTTTGTTGTTATATTCAAAGGTTTGTTTCATTTTTTTCAATTCCATATATAAGTGATATCATACAGTATTTGTCTTTCTGCATCTGACTTATTTCATTTAGCATAATGCCCTCAAAGTCCATCCATGGTGTTGTACATTTCACTTTTTTGTGGTTGACAAGTATTCCACTGATTTGTGTGTGATACACACAGATATGTGTGTGTATATATACACCCACCCACACATATGTATGTACATATGCAAAAGTATTTCACTGAATTGTGTATGATACAGATATGTGTGTTTATATATATGTATGGACCTATGTAAGTGTATATATATATATACACTTACATACACATATGTGTGTGTATATATATATACACATATAAGTATACACATATACTTATATATATTATCCATATATACTTATATACATATATGTGTGTGTGTGTATATATGCATATACACAAGTATTCCACTGATTCATATTTGATACACATACATATATGTGTGTCTGTATACATATATAAACACATATATATGTATTTACAAATGCACAAGTATTGCATGTATTTGTGTATGGATACACATAGATATGTGTGTGTATATATACATATATATATGCATGAGTGTTCCACTGTGTTTGTGTATGATACACACANGTCCATCCATGGTGTTGTACATTTCACTTTTTTGTGGTTGACAAGTATTCCACTGATTTGTGTGTGATACACACAGATATGTGTGTGTATATATACACCCACCCACACATATGTATGTACATATGCAAAAGTATTTCACTGAATTGTGTATGATACAGATATGTGTGTTTATATATATGTATGGACCTATGTAAGTGTATATATATATATACACTTACATACACATATGTGTGTGTATATATATATACACATATAAGTATACACATATACTTATATATATTATCCATATATACTTATATACATATATGTGTGTGTGTGTATATATGCATATACACAAGTATTCCACTGATTCATATTTGATACACATACATATATGTGTGTCTGTATACATATATAAACACATATATATGTATTTACAAATGCACAAGTATTGCATGTATTTGTGTATGGATACACATAGATATGTGTGTGTATATATACATATATATATGCATGAGTGTTCCACTGTGTTTGTGTATGATACACACACAAACTGTGTGTGTGTGTATATATATGTGTGTGTGTGTGTGTGTGTGTGTGTGTGTGTATACACATATATGCACACGCATTCTGTGGCTTCTTTGGGCTCCCCAGGTGGCATGAAAGGTAAAGAATCTACCTGCCAATGTGAGAGATGGGTGCAGATTCAATCCCTGAGTCAGGACGATCCCCTGGAGAAGGAAGTGCCAACCCACTGCAGCATTCTTTCCTGGAGAATCCCATGGACAGAGGGATCTGGCGGTCTACAGTGCCTGGGGTCACACGTGTGGGACATGACTCAGTGCATAAAATCATTACCATGGCTTCTCTATATTTTTATTTAGATTGAATGAAATATTTTCAACAGGAGCAGATTCTCATCTTCTACCCTACTCAGGGGTCCTTCCCAAATTTGTGATTACAGTTTCATTTTGCGTTTATTTTTTTTTTTCTCTCAGTTTTACTTATTTATTTTTTTACTTTACAATGTTGTATTGGTTTTGCCATACATTGACATGAATCCGCCATGGGTGTACGTGTCTTGTACTCTGACTACACTTTATCAGGTTGCTCTTTTATATGTAGCCCCAACACTAAGTTTCAGGTTCTTTCAACCATCATCCTGTCCGTCCATGAATCAGGCAGACTCGATTAAAGAAACCAAGGGCATCCACTCTCTAAATGACACTCACTTGGGCAGTTTGTTCCCATGATGTCACCAGCGCTATGATGATCATGTTCATAATAAGAAAGTACATGGATGGAACCTGATCAGAGATATAAAATACAGAAACTGACCTAGACCCATGTTACTGAACTAAACTCTATAGCTGAACTGAAAGATGAGTTTTTAAGACTCTTATTTGAGATGTAAGTGATACACAACAAAAACTCACATATTGCAGATTGTACAGTTGATAAAGTTTGGATGAATAGAGCTGTGAAAACTTTTCCTTGGTTAGGATCTGAGTATATCTGTCAGCTTCAAAACTCCTTGGACTCCCTTGTCATACCAATTTCTGCTGCTTTTCAACCACTTCTCCCAGCCCAAACTTGGGAACCCCCTCCTCAGTTTTATGACCCAATACATTAATTGGTATTCTAACACATATATACGGAATTTAGAAAGATGGTATTCTTTAGAATTTTTAAAATATTGAATCTGTGTGTGTGTGTGTATCTGGGTTATTTCCCTCAGCATATTGGTTTGAGTAAATACCTATATATTTTTTGTAGATACGTTCCCATTGGCCCTGCATAGTGTCTTCAGGATATGTCCTCTTTTAATCCTTTGCAGTGTTGATGGACCCATGTTCACAGACAAGTTTTTGTAAGGGACTAAGCTGCTCATCTGCTGGGCAGCCACTCAAGTGTGGAACTGGTGGATCTCAGCGCCTTCTGATTCTTGCTTCCTGCCAACAGGAGATGACAGTTGCTGTTCCTTCATCCCTGCCAGCGTTCTGTGTGGTCAGTTGTGTTCAGTTTAGATACTATGATAAGTATGTGATGGGATGCAGTTACAGCTGCAATTTCCACTTCTTGAATGAATAAGGAGGGGCGATTTTCATATGTCCATTCTCTTTGTGCTATAGTTATGGCTATGGTTTTTCCAGTAGTCGTGTATGGATGTGAAAGTTGGACTGTAAAGACAGCTGAGTGCCAAAGAATGGATGCTTTTGAACTGTGGTGTTGNGCAGGTCAGGTGGTCTGGTATTCCCATCTTCTTCTGAATTTTCCACAGTTTATTTTGATCCACACAGTCAAAGGCTTTGGCATAGTCAATAAAACAGGAATAGATGTTTTTCTGAAACTCTCTTGCTTTTTTGATGATCCAGCGGATTATGGCAGTTTGATCTCTGATTCCTCTGCCTTCTCTAAAACCAGCTTCAACATCTGGGAGTTTATGGTCCACTTATTGCTGAAGCCTGGCTTGGAGAATTTTGAGCATTACTTTACTAGCACGTGAGATGAATACAACTGTGTGTTAGTTTGAATATTCTTTGGCATTGTTTGGCATTGCCTTTCATTGGGAATAAGTGAGCATACCTTCATTCTTTCTGGGTTTAGTAGTAGGTTTCCTCCACTCTTCCCCAGTAGCAATATCGGCTAGCTTCTGACATGGGGCGGGGGGTGCTCATCTTTCAGTGTCGTAACTTTTTGCCTTTTTATACAGTTCATGAAGTTCTCACTGTAAGAATGCTGGAGTGGTTTGCCACTCCCTCCTCCGGTGATCATGTTCTGGCAGCACTCTCCAGTATGACACGTCTTTCTTGGGTGTCCCTACACGAAATTACTCATACCTTCACTAAGTTATGCATAACCTTTTTCCACACAAGTCTGGAGAAGGGAATGGCAAATGGCAAACCACTTCAGTATTCTTGCCTTGAGAACCCCATGAGCAATATGAAAAGGCAAAAAGATGTGGCAATGAACAGTGAACTCCCTGGGCCAGTAGGTGTCCAATATGCTACTGGGGAAGAGTGGAGAAACATTTCCAGAAAGAATGAAGAGGCAGACCAAAGCAAGACAAGGCTCAGCTGTGGATGTGACTGGTGATGGAAGTCAAGTCTGATGTCGTAAAGAACAGTATTTCATAGGAACCTGGAATGTTAGATCCATGAGTCAAGGTAAATGAGAAGTGGTGAAACAGAACATAGCAAGAGTGAACATCAACAATCTAGAGATCAGTGAACTAAGAGGGACCGGATTGGGCGAATTTAATTCAGATGGCCGTTATATCTACTACTGTGGGCAAGAATCCCTTAGACGATATGGAGGAGCCCTCATAGTCAACAAAAGGGTCCAAAATGCAGTGCTTGGATGCAGTCTCAAAAATGACAGAATGATCTCTGTTTGTTTCCAAGGCAAACCATTCAATATCACAGTAATCCAAGTCTCTGCCCCAAACACTAATGCTGAAGAAACTGAAGTTTAACACTTTTATAATTACCTAGAAGACCGTCTAGAACTAACACCAAAAAAAGATGTCCTTTCCTTATAGGGGACTGGAATGCTAAAGTAGGCAGTCAGAAGATCCCAGGAGTAACAGGCAAGTTTGACATTAAAGTACAAAATGAAGGAGGGCTGAAGCTAACAGAATTTAGCAAAGAGAATGCACTGGCCATAGCAAACACCCTTTTCCAACAACACAAGAGATGACTTCTACAGAGGACATCACTAGATGGTCAATATGGAACGATATTGGCTATACTCTTTGCCACACAAGGCAGTGATCCATGCAGCAGGTATAGGATAATAGTCAACCACTGTG